ATAAATTTCGCCAGTCACAATGTCTGGGGAACAAAGTGCCACGATTTTGCTATATCACAGTCTTTCTGTGATTAAAATTTGAAGTAACGATAAAAACTTCCTCCAAAGTTAACTTACTACATGAAAACCATGATCCAAATCTTAAATTCCGCTGACAGCCACATACTTTATCAACAAGCATTTGACTGCAAATCCACACAAGAACTGTCAGAAATACTCTTCTTCGTCCGAGTTCTGATAGCAGCTCCGCATTTCATACTCCGTTTTAAAAGTCCCACAGAAATTCCAAAAATACACTTCAATCCTCATAAACACACCCGTGAACAAAAGGCTCGTTAACAACTTCAGCATCGTACCTTTTAATACTAAATTTACTTTCCACACAATCTAAAATACACAACTGAAATCTTCCCACCACGTCTATAATTGCAACATAGGTCATTTCATAACACAAACCACAATGAGCAATTAAACCACTGCAGCAAAAGATTTAGGTTTCAACATCAAAAGGGTTGCCATACAAACAGCATTGTCCACCAAACCATCCCACAGCACGGAATCATGCCAAAAACCAGCGCAGAACACATATCGCCAAATTTGGTGATCTTAGGGCGCAGAGCCCCTAATGTTGATAGTAAACAAATAGGTCTGTATGTAAAAGTGAAAATCTAGGCCCTCTTCAAGAGCTTCTTTAATATTGTTCGTCATTGAGTCATTGCTTTTCTTTATCGCAGTAAAAGTTGTTAAATAAGTGCTTATCTGTAGCAATCTTAAAATGCATGCCAAATTAAAAATGCTTAAAATGCATGGACTGCACATGGTTATATTTCCCCATAAATTATTCCAGTAATCTTTTGCACATACTTTTATAAATAGCCAGAGATTTATTGTAAATTCCTCTATGATAAATTCTTTGATCTTCAACAGAATTTTGACATTTTCTTGTGTGTGCTCTCACGCTTTGTTTTTTCCCCCCTATGCTCAGATTACAAAGCCACCATGGAGAAAAGTTCATTTTCTTTACTCTTGATCTACCTTATAATATATAGATGGCCCGCCACAGATATATCGAATAGTCGAATTAATATTCCAGATAGTAATATCTATATGCCTTCCAAATTTCATCTGTGAAAACTTCTCAATAATCAGTTCTTTGAGAGTAATCCAGTTTAGACTTTTTAGTCTAATTCGAGATTGACTAAGCTCTTGAGAGTTGATATTGTTGATTTCAAATAAAATATAATTATGATTACTCAAACTAATAGTGTTCAGAACCTGCTAATTACGAATTCAATACTCTTAATCAACCTGGAAGCCATTATATCAATCCATGGCTTACCTAATACAGAAGAGTAAGTAGGTAAACTGTTTCTGTTGTTATTCATAATAAAATCAATAAAAATTCAGCAAGCTTCTCTCCCTTAAAATCCATCTGATCTTGACACCATAAGAGATGCTTGCTATTTATGTCTCCATTTATAATCAAAGAAATGTCTCTGAACCCTTTCAGTAAAGATGCTAAAATTTGCAAACGATCATCTACAATATCTGAAGGCAAGAAATAACATGTTATTAAGCATATGGGCTATTATTACCCTTTATCAAAATTGCCAGAATATCTTTAGAAATGTAATTTTATAGTACTGGCAGTCTTTCACCAAACACAAAAATGTCCAATCTTATTTCTGCAATTTTCTGTGATAATAAGCTCTAATTTTGGAGTGGAATGCCATAGATTCTGCCTTGATAGGTAGGTATATGGTTTTTGTACGCAGGCAATGTATATCCCGAGTTACTTACTGTACCTTTAACTGATTGGTTGCCTTAATAACATGAAGATTTATTTGATATAATTTCACATTAATGGACTTACAATCTGTAGTCAGTGTTTCTAGTTAATAAATCAAGCATTATAAAACAAGGACATTCCTTATGAGTATTTCTGTGCCTAATAGAAGACCAAATCTTCAATTAGCTATAGTACAATTATTGCATTTTGGTTTGCTTGCTGAACAGTCAGCCTTTGTATATCCCTCAAGAATACTTTTATTATAGCCATGCCCATGCAAAATCTCTTGATGTGGCCGAAGCCGTAACATTGAAAGCACTTTGTAACCAATATTCTCTGATTTGATGTCTAGACTACTTTAAATATATTTTCTTTTCTTTCATAACTTCTTCAAATGTCAGTGGCTATAAAGAAACAACCCAGTGTGTACCCATATCTGATTAAATGCTAAGTTTTGGTTCATTATTAGCATGTTCCATATAAGCATTTTGAGACTTCATAAGATAATATCACTACTCAAAAACACAGCTTCAACATTATAAATGATAATTTTTGAATTAATTTTCTTTGGTCTCCAACTGTTCTTTTCAATAATTGCATTTTCAATAATGGCCAAATCTTCATTTTTTGTTACTTTAATTAGGACACTTCCATTTTTCATTTTTTGAACTTTTTGCACTTAAATCTTCAGCTGAATCCAGATGTAAATATGTTTTATTTTCCTTTATTTGTTCTGATGCTTGATTTTTTTTTTTTTTTTTCTTTTCTTTGGTTACACTAAAGTGAAAAATTTGACTTCCTGTTTTTTAAAACTCCTTGATCTATTTCGAGATCTGGGTCTTTTTTTGTGCCTTCTCAGCGTAGATCATTTCTTGCTTTTTTTTCCTCCTTCCACTATTGTTTGAATGTTTTTCTCTTTCTGATAATCAACCTCTTAATTCGCTTTTTTTAACAAGAAAATTTGTTAGAACATTCTGTAATTTATGAACAATATCTAATTTTGTTTCCTGCTGCTTTATTAACTTTATCAATTGGATTTCCCGAAATTTCATCAAGTTCTCTAGAATGATCATTTACATATGACAATAGATTGTCAGCAATGTATGAGTCAGCGGCCTCCGAGCCATCTGATACATTTGCTCCTGCTTGCTTCTCATTTTGCTTATCATTTGCCTTCTCACTAATACCCTGGGGTTTATGCCGGGGGATATTTAAAGCCATGGAGTGTAAGCTCTTGTTTAATAAGGAAAGCCCCATGATAACAGCTAGATACATAAATATAAATGCTTGCAGATATAAGAAAACTTCACCAAAAAAAAAAAAAAAATCCACTTTCCCCGGGGGGACAACAACAATAAGTAAATTTTCACTTGTTGATGTATCAGTAGTTTCATTAAATGTACAATTCCATCTGTTATACAAACATACATTCAGATTACTGGTTCATTATGAATATTAGATAATCTGTCCTAGTATCATACATACTGTTTGATTGACAAAAATATTACTGCATTTCTCTGTATGCTTTTGATACATATCATTTAATAATTTCCCTCTTAAGTTATTTTTAAATAGTGACTTATATTCAGAATGCAGCATCTCAATCAATTTTATGAAATGAAGGTTTGATGCTTTGTAACATTAAAAAAAAAAAAAAAAAAGGAAGGACTAGATTTTAAATGTTTGGTTTTTAACAACAGCTTACTTGATCTGTCCCTGTATGTGATTATCAGTCAGCTCAAATTTATACTGAGCTAAAAAGTAGTACTTACGTTCGTGCATTGAAGTAGAGAGCGCGAGGGAACTGATAAGGCCCTAAGCATTGAGAGAAGCCCGTTAGAAGTCGGGATCAGATATAGTAGCTTTAAACTTGGGGAGCTAACTATCACTGCGTACTTAGACATAAGCCTGCATTGGATTAATGGTGTGAAAGTATGGTAAACATTTAAATTAAATAATCGGGCAAGTTGTGGGGCTTGTGTTGTTTTTGTTTGGTTTTTTTTTGCAGGCATAGGAAAATTCTTAAAAGTACAATCGTCATTAACACTGGCACATCCTTTCAAACGGAGCGCGATTTAAGAAGGGTTAAACCCGTAACGCTGCGGTTATCTATAACGCTTGCTCAGCCGAGGTTAACGCCCCGTGGATTATACGCCCTTCCAAATACTATCATTTGCTTTGTCTGCTACCCTAAAGATCACAAGCTTGAAGGCAACACCCAAGGACCTTGACAATATGCGAGAGGAGCTAGTCAGAGAAGTGTGGGGAAAGTGGAGGAGGGGGTGGTCTAAGCGGAAAGTCTGACTGCGTGGTAGTGGCTGGTTTGTTTTGGTATTGTTTTTTGTGTTTTTTTTGGTATTTGTGTGTGAAGTTTGGGTTTCAGGTTCATTTTGGTTTAGTAGGGTTTCCAGGAAGGAAGATAGAACAGAGGGTTCAACCATTTAGCTTTCGGGAAGAGTTTGATGAACTGCGCGGTACTGAACGAAAACCGTTTGAGACAGTATAGGACCACCACCTCACAAATGAAAATCAAGACAAAAGCGTGGCTTAACCATGGAGAAGAAGAGTTTTGTAGGCTACTGATTCAAAGTATAACGCCGAATCTATTAACTTTACTGGCTAAAATAGATTGATCAAACTCCATTTCCATCTTTTTTATTCTAAAACATCATTTTTATTTTACTTGCATCTTTTTATTACTCTAAACATTAAATTTTGTGCATTCATTTTTTTTTCTTTTATTCTTAATTTTGTGAAAGTAAACAGTTTTTAGAAAGTAAAACTTGCACTTATTCCCCCCCCCAATGCATCGCATAACTGTGCATGCCTGTATGAAAAACCGTGGAACAGGGAAATTAATTTTGTACTTTTTCCGTGGCAGATAAGGGGTTAATCCTCTGATTCAGATTTACACCCTGATATATATGCACAACTTGCACATATAAATTCTTAAGTAAATGTGTGAATGTTTGCACTAATATTAGGTGTATTCACTTCCTTTAGTTTGGGGAGTGTATTTTCTGAATTTGAATAGCTAAGAATTATACAAGTTGTTTGTTATTGCAAGAAGCTGTACTTTGAGAAAATTTGCTTATTCTTGAAAGCAGTTTATTGATTCTGAGAAAAAGCTTGCGTTATTTTCCTCATAATTCAATACTTTGTACATTTTTTAAAAATTTAATACAACCATTTTCATGTCTGTCTTATGTAGGATTTGATTAATAATGGTGCTATGGTTGCTATCTGCAATAAATATGGTGAAACACCTTTGGACAAATGTAAAGGTCAAATGGCTCAAAAATTGCTTGGTATGTTTTATATTTATGTTTTTCAAAATATATTTTTATCAATAATACAGCTGTTAAAAGCATTTTATAGTTGATTGTTTGGTGTACATAAATATGTAAATGTATAGTTATCAATATTATTAAAGTATTATACAGATAAATTCTTACTCTGATATGTTTAAATAAGTTCTCTACCTGAGTGTTAAATCAAAGCTGCTAAATGTATGCATGCAAGTTAATAAGTTGGTGTTCATTAAGTGAAAATATCTTACCTTAAAAATTTCTTGCTGTATCCAATTTTTTGGTCTGTTATATACCTTGTAAAATTTCATGTAGTGGTAGTTGACGTATTTTCTCAGTATTTCGTGCAGTGTACTGTAATGTCACATTCTTATATAAAGGTTGAAAATTTCTGTAATATTGGTGTGTGTGTGTGTGTATTATCTTTGTTATTGAGTATATGGGATACTATCTAGTTGAATACTTGACTGTTACTCCTTTAAGAAAAGTGAGTTTCTCATGACTCATATTACAGATAAAAAATATGCACAATATAACGGATAATAAATATTTGTCTAACAATTTATTACTGTTAGTAATATTCATCTTTTAACATATTTGTTAAAATTATCACCAGTTTTAATATGTAATGCTTAAAATGTTAGGGACTTATATTGTTCTATGCCAGCTATGTACTTCTGAACCATGCTGACAGGTTTGTAAAAAATCTCAAAATTCCAACCCCTGAAAATTTTTGTCCCTTTAACATTAATATCCAATTTATTATATTTTAATTTGCTTTACTTCGTCATTTACCCTCACTTACTTTAGCCTTGGTATGTATCTGCTCTTTTTCCAGGATCTGCTTCTCAGTGAATTTATGAATCCCTCTTCATTTATTTTGTTTGAGGATTACTTGTGACTTTTTTAAATAGGTAAAATACTTACTATCAGCAAATTTTATAAAATTAAATTATATATATAAAATTAAAGAAACAGTATTATGTCAGGAGATGATGGATACTTTCCATACTCCATCAAGTTAGATTGTATTCAACTATATTCTAAGTTGGTGTATTGTTGTACTGAGTTCAATTCCTTCAGTTCGATATAAACATGGTGATAAAGAGGTTTTAGGCACCATTTCCATGCTTGTGTGTTAAATGAAATGGGAATTTTGTTCACTGCAAGACTGCTTTGTAATTTATATATTTCTAGATACCATATCTGCCAGTATTCTGAAAATTTGTCATTTTGAAGTTCTTTTCAGATTTTAAAGTTGGCAGAAATGTCATCAGAACATGTTCAAATTAAGTTCTGTCTTTCTGGACCCTTAAATTCTGCTGTGCATCACAACCAGTTGGTGACGTGTTAGCATTTTGATAATTTACTTGTCTTTTAAAATTTTTATTTAATGATCTGCTAATTTTTTGAAGATTTTTCTAACAAACATCGTAATTTTATAATGATATCATCAGTATAAAGGTAATATACAAATAATACACCTTTCTGAAATAAATAATAATAAAACATTTATATTTCCCACTTTTATGTTTTAAAATAATTTCCTTTTCATGTCTGATGGCTTTCAAATACTTTATTTCTCAAATTTAAACGATATAATTGTGATGAAACATTATATCCGGCTTTTCGTTTTAACAAGAGGCAAAATGGGCTGCTAACTTAATTTTAACGTGTCTGATTTTCTGGCTTTTGTGATAAGTAATGCCAATAGCCATAATTTTAAAATGAGCTTTATGCCTGTCATTATTTTAAATAAAATTAAGTCTCAACTCTTGATGCTATCTTCTTTCTGTACTACAGCATTGTGTCCTCCCTCTCTCTCTCTCTTTTTTTTTTTTTTTTTTTAACCCCTTAACTGCCTTGGGCGTATATATACGCCTTGCTCAGCCGATGCGTTAACTGCCCCAGATGTGCAGCCGATGCTTAACGTTGCGAGAATTGAGGGTGTAGCAGGCGCAGCAATGATAGCCGTTGGAAGGACGTATATATACGCCTGGGGCAGTTAACGCTTCAGCTGAGCAAGGCGTATATATACGCCCGCGGCAGTTAAGGGGTTAAGACAGGTAAATTTTGTTTTTATTATCCCTTTCAGAACTTGCAACTCAGTTGGGTCAAGAAACCAAAAAAATCCCATACAAGGACCAAAGCTGGCTTGGAACTAAAACAAGATCTAGTAATATTTCTGTTTATTTTATGATTATTTCTTGGCCTTTTTTTTTAATCTCAGATGCACAGATTTTATGTATATATGTACAATTTTTCCCTCATTCAGGAGATGCAACATTATCGCGCCATTCTGGTATTAACATGAAAGAAATAAGTTTTCAATTCAAGTTGGCTGTTACACCATCTGGAGAAGTATGCTATTCATTCTGATGATTACATCTTTTTTACCTTAAGTGTAAAATTTTTTTAAACCATTATATTATATGTAATGTTCTGTAGAAATAGTATACATTTGCCTGAGTGTAACTAAGCAAATTCTTTCTTATGTTTATAATGCATCAAGAAATGATACTAGTGATTTGTTGCAATTGTCGTCTGATAAATAAACATCAGTCAGGTTGCTAAGCTTATATCAGTAATTATTATAATACAGTACAAAGTCCGTAATCCGGATGTCTATTATCCGGAATGATCTATAATCCGGACCTCAAAGCCACAAACTTACACATGTGTGTAAAGCGTTTACCCATGCGCGCTTCCGATAGTGAAGAAGGGCGAGGTATTTAAAAAAAATTTTCGATTGACAATTTATTGTATTCTCAGACGCAGTAAATAAGACTTGCACATCGGAACTTTGTAACTAACAGAATTAGGTCTGTTTATAAATAAGAGAAAGTAGTACAACAACAAAGCACTTACATTGAATGAAGAAAGTATAACAAATAAATATAAGTTTTTTTTTTTGAATTTGATACCTTTAGATCAATTGTCTTATTATAAATTATGGTTTCATATTTTTAATTGTGTAATTTCTGCATGCCATCTTACCATATTTAAATTGGTGATCTATAATCCGCAAAAACCCCTAATCTGGAATCATTGAAGTCCTGAGTCCTGATGAGTCTGGATTACGGACTTTGTATTGTAATAGTAAAGTTATAACCAAAAGTAGATACAAAATTTGGCTATTCAAGTTCAACATCTTCTATATAACAACTGCTTAATCGTAAAGATTTAAACAATTGGCTGATGTTCATTTAAAAAAGAAATTTCCCCCTAATTTCTGTTTTGAATTTTTTAATCTGCAGTCTCGCAACATTTTAAAATGTCAGCGAATAAATATAATACATTTTAAATATTCTTCAGCATTTCAGTAATTTTGAAAAACAGAAGTTTTTAATTATAAGTATTTAACTTCACTGGAAGTCCACCAAAACTAGAGCCAGAAATGCATTAACCAAAATCTGTTTTTTCTTGGTTGATAGCCACAAAGAAGATATAAGCAGATTTTTGTTGCTGCAGTTAAATGGCAATGGTTTGTCATGTGATGAAAGTCTTAAAATTAATGTGTCAGAAACTATATTATACATATATATAAAGTCATATTTTGTAAATAAATTAAAAAGTATGTCATAAGTGAAACTGTCCACCAAATGTCACAAAACAGTTACAATGATCATGCATCTTGCAAGAAATTTTTCATAAATTAAGCTTGTAGACTAAACTAGTGTTCTTTGCTGAAGGGCTTTCTACAGTCATGCAAGTTTTCTGGAAGAGGATTGCTTTTAGTAACAAAATTAAATTCAGTATTTTTTGCTTGAAGTCCAATACTGAAATGAATAAGCAAAATTATACTAAAACTGAAGATAGTTGTTATCAGATGAAGGATTTGGTTGAGACTGTACTTTGGCTGATAAAGGATTTGACTGAGACTTTATCAATAGCATCATGACTAAATATATGATTCACTGGGACAAAAATCTCAAAATTAGTGCTTGGAAATAACTAAGTAAAAATTTTTAGAATGCATTCATGAAATTAAAGCTTGATATAAAATTGTAAACTAGTGTGATTCTATACCACTGTAAGAAGCAGCTTAAAACCATACTACTTATTCAGACTTTATATAGTTGCAATACCCGGAAAATTTATGCTGAGTATTAGAAAAAATTACACAAACACATTATTATGAGCAAGGCAGGCTTCAGGTAAGTGTTATAATTAGAATGAAATGAAGTATGATAGGTAACCTTGAAATATATACCTGAAAATTTTGTACCACAGCTACTGAAAATTGTAATATAGTCCGAATATGTGTTGTGATATAATTAACATGTGAAATTTCTTCAAATAAAAAATATGCTGGGTGTTTGTTTAATTTTGTAACTGTATTTTTAGCCCTTTGAAAAAGATGCAAAGCCAATTCATATGTATCTTATATTTTGTTATTTTGATATCCTTTTAACCCTGTCAGAGTTATGGCCAGAAAATCCCGTACAGAAGGCTGTCTTCTATATTCATTATACAAGAAAATTTCTGCTAGCTGTTAAATGTATCTGATTTCGGTTTGGATGTATATTGGAAGAAAAGGAATCAAGGTATAAAAGGAGTCATTTTTTAATAAAATCATAATATCCTTATTCTTAATTAGGAACTTTGAAATTTCGGGCTAACTGTAACTCTTCAGGGTTATATGAGAATTACTAAACAAATCAAGATGTAAGAAAATTTAAGCACAGATTTGAAGAGAATAGGAAAGGAGGCTGTTATTTTGTGCCAAAAATGATGGCTGATTTTTTTTTTTTTTTTTTTTTTTATTTGTACCTGAAAGGTCAAAGGGGTACTTCTTTGTTTAGTAGTTTACTGATTTGTGTGTGATACGATCAGTAGCATTTAATATAAAAAGGTATTCTTCAGAAAGATGTGTACATATGGCTGAAAAATTAGTTCACCCTTTAAGAATTTTTATTTTTTGTTTTAGTGAGAAAGGTGATGCTCTCTCAACAGTTGTAACTGCACATAAATGCTATGTGCACACCAAATAAGTTTTATGTTTTAAAATTTTCTCTTGTTTTGCATATTTAGAAGCAAGCAGTAATAAAAAAATATAATGTACATCCATATAAATTTGAATATATAAATTATAATTCCAAAACAAAAAGTGCAAAAATTTGTACACTATTTATGCATTTTCATAAATAATTACCTTTCAAAAGGCAATTCCTTTACTTTTTAGCATACTTTTTGTTACTTTTCTTTGCTTAGTTTAATACGTAATTATTTTTGATCAAATATTGCAAATCCTTGTAGATATTTTTGTAAGCTTTTGTAATTTATTTAAATCATTCAAAACATTTTATGGAAAAATTAATCTTTTGCATACTTTTTGGTGTGTTTCTTTGTTTTGAATAAAAGAGCACGCAATCCATGTCTTCAAATTTCTTTTTTTTGTTTTTTCATATTTTTTTATTTTCATGCTGTGTAATGGTTCTCAGTCTGGAACATTCCATGTTATCTAATATATATATATATATATTTTTCCTAGAATATCTTGAGGCTTTCATCACTTTCATGGAACATATTTAGTATGTTTTATAGAAAAAATAGAATTAGTGATAATTTCTATGATTAAATAAACTGGCCTTTAGGAAGTTTTCTAAACAATTATAGATTTGATAGATTCGTGAACAGTTTTTATTGCTTCAGAAAATATAAATTTTTCACCAACCTAGTTAAAGGTCATAGGTTTCTCATCTAAACTCATATTGTTTCTGTCATTCTTTATATTAAATATACATAATTTATAATGTTAATTATAGATTGTTTATATTTATTATACATCTTTTAAATTTATGTGTTATAATGAATGTAAAATAAAGTGTAATATTTTCTTGATGGCAACTCAGTCTAATTTAGGCTTACATAGATTTGCATTGAAGTTTAAATGCTAATGAAGACTAAATGGAATATTATTTTATGCCTTTCACCACATCATTAAAAATGCTTTTGAGTATTGGTTTTTGACAAAAAAAAAAGGGGGGGCGGGTTGTTTTGCTATGTATGTACCATTCTGCATTTAAGAAAAACATTCATGGAATATTATTTCCTTTATTTTTACAATATAACTCTTATAGATATTTTTATGTTGTCTCTGTTCCATGCTTTGATTATAACTGTTACTAAGTTTATACTGTTATTCAAATGCACAATTTTTCCATAACTGACTCTTAATTTTCTTAAAATCTTTGCATTTGACAGTTTGGCTCATACTGTATTTGTATGTGTACTTGCACAATACTAATATGTATTTTCCAAATTAAAATAAATATTATCAGCATGTAATTATATAGATATATACATCAACATTGTTTTCAGACTTGGAGAGGAGTCTGGCAAGGAAACGATATTGTAGCTAAAATTCTGAAACTCAGAGAACCAACTGCCCGAGTAACAAGAGATTTTAATGATGAGTACCCTCGATTACGTATTTTTTCACATCCAAATGTGCTACCTGTTATTGGTTGTTGCAGTAGTCCACCAAGTCATATTGTTATAAATCAGTACATGCCATTTGGATCACTTTATACAGTACTCCATGAAGGAACAGGTGTGGTATATTTATTTGCTTATTTGTACTTTTTAAATAATTGAAACTATCCCTAAGAATGTTATAAATTGATAGCAGATAAGAAAATATGTATATATATATATAGTTTTAAGAGGACTGACCTCTGAGAAAGGAGGTTTGTGCTAATATTATTTCAGTGTTCTCATTTGTCATTTTTACAAATTGCAGTTCATTTAAACTTCAAGTACCAGTCAATGCTTATATAATCATATAGTATTTTTAAGTAGTGTTAACATGTTGGTATGATGGTTTTATAAAAGATTTAAAATATTTTTCCCTTTAGTTCAGGATTCCCCCTCCCCTTTTCTCAAATTTTAGCTTGCATATGTACATAGATGTATTTCTTCTGTTTTCAAATCATTTGTTAATTTAATATTCTATTTTAGGTATTGTTGTTGATACAGTACAAGCTCTGAAATTTGCAATAGATATTTGCAGGGGAATGGCATTCTTGCATACACTTGACCCTTTGATCCCGAGATTTTATTTAAGTAGCAAACATGTTATGGTAAATAAAGTGTTTACTTTTTGAAAATGTATTTTCCTTTATTTTGTGACTAGTCTAAAGTCTTAATAAAGCCTGTCCTATATTTTATATAGAATACATCAGTGATGTAATATAATCAGTCAATTTCTTGTGAATAATATAATATTTACTCAAGACAGATTTCCAAACTGGTATTTTCTTCAAAAATGAGGTTGAACTGGAACTCAGGAAAGTAGTCATACCTGCTGTCGGCAAAAGTTTCATCATTAGGAAATGAATAAATGATAAACCTTTTTTTCAATATAAAAGAACAATCTGTCTAATATTTTACCAATAATTATAATCATATGCTGTGTGTTTCTCCTTTGATATATCATGTGCAAATGATGATCGCAGTTTAGTCGTATGCATAAAGCTGATGTAAAAGCGCTTGTTAAAAAAGCAAGTTTATTCAAGTTTTGTATGAATTTTTTTATTAACTTATTACTGTAAATAACTTGAATTATTATAGTTTTATTTTATATTCATGTTTAAAATTTCTTCAATGTAAAGGACTTTTTAGGATTTAAGGCTTGACTGTAATTTATATTCCTTGCAAAATGTGAATCTTGTTAAATATTTTAATCATGAATATTAATTAAAATGACGAGGTGTCTAGAATTACTCAGCAACAATGTGCATCTGTTCTCCAGAGAGTAACGGTTTTTCTTTAACAGCTTGTAGCTTTTAATTAATAATAATTTATATTTTATTAAAACAAATTGTAGTATTATAATACTGGACTTGTACAGTGTAGCCTTGCTTACTTAAGTCTTGCAAAGAAAAAACATTAACACTATTCACTTGAAACTTAAAATTGTTTCTGTCCTTCTAAAACTGTGAAGCATAATCATAGTGTACTATTGTGTTTTAAGTGTGAAAAGTATTTACCTGCAGTGCCATACGTTGTGTGAGTTTGTGTTGTTTGAATCTGGTAAAGCATACTATGTTATCTGCTTAAAGAAAGCAATGCCACTGTGGGGAAGGGGAAGTTTGAAAGGGAAACTGCTTATATTAACATTACACATGGGGGAAAACGTCCATGCAGCCAACTTATTCACTAAGATTTCCAACAATTCAATAAAAGTGTTTAAAATGAAAGAACTGTATCTGAAACAGAATGGAAATATTGCCTGTTATACAAAGCTCAGAGAGAAACTCGTGCAAGACTAATTTCATTTTTCTTAAATCTTCCACTCAACCTTATTTTCAGAGCAGATTAAAATCACCTTATTTATATCCACGCTCATTGCAAAAGTAAAACCTTATTTAGATGCAGGGGGGAAATTATAGCTATAAAGGGAATTATAGGGTCAGTGTTATAATAACCCCAACGTTGTTCTTAAGTCATTGTCACTTAAGTTATGATGCAGTAAAAATGCAAACAGAAAAGTTATCTGAAAACATTGAAGAAACCACAAGCAGGCTCTTGATGAATCAATTTCTGGAACCAAAATCATTATTATGGCTTGCAGGAAGTATCTTAGCCAATTAAAAAAAAAAAAAAATGCTTTAGAAGAATTACTTTTACTGAAATATGTTGATAAGTCTAAAAAAGAAAGACTCTTGTACATAGTGTGAAAAAATATGTTTATTATTATTATTCCAGTGAAAAAATACTTATGTAGTTTCTACTGTTAAGGCACCTGCTATGGCAGATCGGTGTCAAGGTTTTGCTTTTCCTACATAATATCCTAATATATGCATTGCCTATTTTTTCATTCATAGACATCTTGTGTGGGAAGAGTCTTCTAAATTGAATAATTTTTAACAGTATGTGTAAACATTGTTAATAAAATCTGAGTAGATCTTTTACAATAGCATTTTTTTGCCAGATTATGTTAAAGAAAATGACAAGACAGCTAATCATCTATTATTGCATGCTGATGTTAGTTGGCTGTCAAGGGGTTACTGTTTTACAAGACTTATAGGTTTGTACAGGTCAACATGGGGTGTTTGAAAGATATGGATAATTCTTCGTATAGTAAGCTTCTGAGAGACCTCTTTGTTTTATGTGGGTTTGACCTATATTTAAAATTTAATGAGTCTTGAAGCATTTTGCAAGGTTAAAGGTATCCATTTTATTCAAGCCGAAACAGTCTTGTTTGTCTTCCAGAACTATTAAATTGTATTTATTAATATGAAATACAAATATTTTATAAACCAAAAAATAAATACATCCAAAAAATAAAACATATTGTTGAAGAGGATTTTGAGAAAGGTGTCAGCATTAGGTTTGTAGATTTGTGACATATTCAAATTCTTGATTGATTTTATATCCTTCTGGCTTCTGTATAAATGAAAATAAGCTTTTTTTGGAGGGGGAGGGTACCAAAGAGATTATTTACAAAGTTACTCAAAGTTAAAATATTCTTCCAAAATAAAGACTGTCAAAGTATTTTAGGAAAATAATTATTACTAAATATTAAAAATTTGTAATACCTTTTGTTTTAGTATTCTATAGTTCAAATATGATTCAAACTAGATTTAGTCTTGCCAATGCATTTATTACTAAAAGGCAACATGTTACAGTATGAAGAAAAAAGAAACTTATGATTAAAGCATACAGGCCCCAGTATAAATGACGCAGTAGAAAAACTACTTAAAACTTAATTTTATGTCAGTGTGAAAAATGTGATTTACTTCTGTTGAGATGCATTGTTGACACTTCAATATTTCATCATCAAGGGCTCATTCAGTAACATTTTCTTTGCAGCTCCATTCAGCCAAGAAAACATGAAATTTGAAGTTTCAAGAGGCATTATTATTTGATAAAGAACTGGTTTGAAAAATCTTGTTAAAATATAATGCATACTTTTTGAAAGGGGTATCAAATTTGTTAATGTAAAATTTCATTAAAATATGGTCAGAAACTTAATTTATATTATTATCACATACAAACAAAAGTAAAACTATTTGAAGCTTGCAATGTGACTCAAATTTTAATTTAATTTGTATGTTCAAAGCATATATATTTTTAACAGTAAATAGTAATACATAGTTTATCTTGTGAATTTGGTTGATCATGATGTCTGAGATGAAATTACATGATGAAAAAGCTGCTTTTTACATAATTTTGATTTTATTCTATTGAGAGGTATTATGAGTTTCTTATTGTCTGAACAAAAATTCAAGTTTTTAGCTAAATGCTCATTCTTTATCTCGCTTTTGAATTGTTTGACATTCAGAAGCTGCTGATTTACAGTTTAGTTCACATAATATCCATAACAGAGCTTTGAGGTGGGTTTTCTCAGTTTGATGCAAGTTTTCAAAATGCCATCCCTTTCATATTTTGATTTTGTTGCTTATCTGCCTCCTTACAGTGCTGTCTGTTGGCGGCTGCCTGTCTGTATGATAGGCACAGCATGTCCTTGATCCATAGGATGAATATGCTTTTTAGTTTAATGTGCTTTTGATTGCAATAAAAACATTCCCACACCTGGAGTAACTTAGTCCCACCAGTTTATAGTTAGAAATTAAAATAGCAGCCAAATTATAAATAAAAATTATTGTCCATAGTGTAATATAGTAATAATCAGAAAAAGGAAAGAGTAACAAAGTAAGATAACATTTGCTAGATAGAATGGTTGCTACATATCAACAGTATCTCCATGACATTGCCAACCTTTTAGCACCATTTGGCCAGTGTTTACATTTAACAGGTTATCTGCAAAAGTACGACCTAAAAGTGGCAAGTTGCTTGATTAATTGAAATAGTTCTTTCAAATACAATTTATTAAATATTATATTAATTATTCTTATATAAGATCATTTCATAAAATAGATTTTAAGTATATTTAAAATCCAAATTTCATTGAGACTCTGGATCTTCATGGCACAATTAAAGTGGTGGTTGAGATAAAAATTTGTTAACTCCTGAAACAAATGTTACTGTTATAATCATTTTTATTTCAATTTATAATTAAGTGTTTCATTATTTTTTTAATATTGTGTGTAATGAGTATGTGCTTAATTATTGCAGTTTATTATGATGACTCCAAAATTAGGCATACACGTTTTTGTGTCCAATGTTGTTTCTAATAGTGGATTGAAAATAATTTTTTAAAAAAATTTTCTGGCTAAATGTTTAGCTATTCGATTATAAATTTTTTAAATTAATCAAGAATAATAATTTTAATATGGTTATTGAGAAGTTTCTAAGTATTTTAGTATATATTAATGTATCACTCCTTTTTGAACTAATTTTACCTCTAGAAAATTAAAAGGGGGGTATTACATTGTGCATACAGATTTCTGAGAAAAACACTTGAATGAGAAATCTAGAACACTAAAAATCACATATAAATACACATAGCAATATTACTATTTCAAAGAAATCATTTTTTAATTTCATTGGTTTAATGCCAGAATTTACATTTCTGTTTATGCATATGTTTTTTATTGTCATTCCTAAGTTTCAAAATCATATGCTGAAAAGGGTAGGGGGAGAAATAGGCAAGCTGATATGCTATCTACTCAAATTTTAAAATAAAAATGTACTTGCAAATCTTTTAAATTATCTGTAGTGTAAAAAATATATAGACTATTATAGACGTGAAAGCATTACATTCATTAATCAAAACGATTCTTTGAAAAATAAATATGTATTAAAATAAAAAATTCATTTGAATTTTGCCCTTTGTTCCTATCACCCCATATTGTAGCAGTTTCCGCCAAAGATAAACCCACATAACTGAATGAAGGGGATGTGAAAAAACAGCATTTTAAACATTTCTGTAGTGCACTTCATTTCAAACTACGTGCATGGTATAGTTATAATCAAGCGAATAATGCCACATTTATATATATTGTGTCCACAAAGTTTAAGTACCAAATTTATTTTAAAAGAGATCGCAAGGAAATAGTTTATGTTTAGCTATGTGGCCATATTTACTTTTGGATACTATAATAGCTTATGAACAAATTTTAGAACGGAAGAGGACTGCTATTGTCAGCATTTAGGCCCATTCCTACTAATACATTGTGGCTAATGTGATTTTCCATTTAACAAGCAAATTGACTCATATTTTGAGTTCCACTATGTTTGCGGTGACCAGGCAGACTGTTGAGCAATTCTTAATTCATAATGCAATTTTAGTTGTGCAATACAGAAATCAGATGAATAATAGAATTAGAAGCACTGATCATTGCCACAATAAGAAATATTTCTAAAAATTTTTATGAAGTTCAGAATTATGTGACATTACGAAACATGAAGAATCTTTGCATTAAATAGAAAAATTTTGACTTGAAAGTAATATTAGAAGGACAAGCTTATATAAAATTCAGCAGAACTGAGCATCAGGAAAATTTCTATATACTAGTTTTGTGTACATACAACTGCACTTAAAAGATTTTTTTTAAAAAAATTACTTTCTAAGTAAAATTTACCTTAAAGTTTTTTTTTTTTTTTTTAATCAAGCCTATTTTGGCATTAGCAGAAATTTCTTACAACAGCAGAGATGGTATGCATAAAAACTAACATTATAAATATTTCATTGGATAATAGGTAAAAAAATGTGTTTTTCTATTCATACATTGTAGAGTATATTTTTTTTAATTAATGTCATTCTATGTGAATTTCTAAAGTTATTTTTGTATATAGACATTTAGTATTTAACTGTGATTAATTTTTATGTGATGACATGCCTAAATAAGACATAACATTTCATTGTAGAACTAAGTACTCAATTTTCCATGAAAAATTAATTTAAGTATGAGAATGTGACCTTGAATTAAAATTTACAGTTAACAGCTGTTTGGGTTGGGAATTTGAGCCTTGGAGGATTATTTTTCAATTAACAGCTGATTGTTTTACTTGCTGCTTCATTTGCTTTATGTTCAAAGTCATGTCTAAGAACTTTTCCAACACTGCTATGAGGATTTTTGAAGATGTGTTAAATTAATGCAACTTAACATATGTCTGTGTATATCTTGGATCTTTTGTTCTATTTTGTTCTTATATTTATCTCAAGCAGTTCTGTTTTAGTTGCCAAAAACTGATTCTTAAATCATTGCAAACACTTTTGTGAATCCATTATTCAGTTTCCAATGTTTCCATTAAATAGAAGATGCATTTAGAGATGAAGTACAATTGAAGTGCTGTTGTGATAAAAAGCATCTGGGAAAGTCCACAAATTATAGCTGATGCATTAAAATTGAACATAAAATATAATCAGATGTGGTACATGTTGAAACAAGTTAAATACTAAGAAGAACATATCTAAATAAAAAATGTAGAAAAAGGATACTAAGTTGTTCTAACAATTTTACTCTTTATCTCAGAATTAAGGGCTTGGAGAATATGCAAGTCCTTGTCACAGTCAACTGCATGTATTGAAAAATATGATTGGAACAGTTTTGAAGTTTTCACTGTATTTTTAAAGAACCAGTTTTAAACGATTAAGTTCACTATTTTATTTATTAGCTATATACAAGCAAAATTAAAATTTTTTAATTAATTATGCATTATCAAATATTCAAAATGAAAAGTTTTTTTTTTTTTTAATTCAGCATAAATGAAGATTTGTTTATAAAGTTTCAGACCATCAGATGTTTATCACAAATATTGCAGATGTACTGTTCTAAAAACAATTAGCATGCTTTTCCACTGTTTAAACAAATTCAAATATCCACTGTATTGGCATACAGTGACATTTGGCAGCAGTAAAATCTTTCCAGATGTACATGTATATATACCACAACTGTGGAGACACAAGTATTGGGAGGTTTTCACCCACTGAAGGACTGACTGCATGTGCAGTTTCAGCGGACAAAACTTTCCCTTCATGACACATAATTCCTTTGCCTGCAGCCACTGAGCTGATCATTTATGTTAAGAAACAGTTGAAGAGTGGTATTCCATATTTGTGCCAAATCGTGTAATTTGTTATAATGATTACAGGAAGAGCCTGTTGGTTTGTTTTGCAGGCTTACATCTACTGACCTAAACTTAGGAAATCAATACTGAATGAATTGTTTGGCAAACATTTCTTGCATAATGAGTCCTAGCTAACATGCTTCAGTGTTTCGTAAAGATAACATTGCTGTCATTGCATCATGAATTTTTGCATCTCGTGTCATTAAAAATTTACATAAACTTTTGCTTTCCTCTTAACAAACAGAACCTGCTGTATAAAACATACACTTCATTTGCAAGAACTTGGTCGTATTGTATTGCATAAAAGAAGAATAATAGCATTACTATAAAGCTGTCCTCTGCTGTGAAAGAAATATATATTTTTATTACTTGTAACAGGAAAATTTCCTAATTAGGGAAGGTTTAAGATCATTTTAGCATAAAAGTGTATGCCAAAATTAAATTACAAATTACTTCCTGTTAAAGTGAAATGTTTATTTCAGATAGATGATGATCTGACTGCACGAATAAACATGGCAGATGCAAAATTTTCTTTTCAAGAAAAAGGGAAAATGTATAACCCAGCATGGATGTCTCCTGAAGGTAATATATTGCATCTTTAATGTTCAGCTAGCTATTTTCTGTTTTGTACTAAAATCTTCACTGTGCATTTCAACTGCTGCCATATTATGCAGTAAAAATGTGAGTGCTTAAAACAGCTTATATGTTTGCATAACATAGTCAAATTAATATAATAATCTTCTACAAATGTGTAAGAGTTGAATATTCCAGTGTTTCACAAACCAGAAAGTTTTATTTAAAAAATTATTAACTAAAGCCTGTGCCTTGTCAGGTTCTAATTCTAGCCATAAGAATAGTTTTATTTTTTCCTTCTTTGCGGCCTAATTGGGCCAAGAATCTGTAAGACTGTTTAATTATAATTTCTGAGTTTCATCAGTAAGTACTATTTCAAGAAAAGCAATATTATTTTCAATTGTGTTGAAGGTGGGTACAGTAAAAAATACTGTTCCTAAATTAAGATTAATATTTAACTGAAATTTTAAGAACTAAGTTCTTTGAATAGTTGATCCTTTGCATTATTTGAAAATATTCATTAATTATGTCTTGTATAATGACTGTAGCTTTTCACTGCCAACATCTGAGCAGATAAGATACCATAGCCAAGTAGTTATTACATTCTGTGCTATCAGCGGCTGAGCGGTAAAGTTGCCAAACACTGGTAGTTCGGTCCGAGGTTTGAATCCCGTGAACGGGCTGGCTGCATAGGTGTTTTCGTGGTTTTCCCCGTGTGTAACATGTAACAGTTTCTCTTAGAAAGTCCTCCACGAAGGCAACCCTCCCCTTAGGCAGATAGCCCTCGAGGCTTTGTGTAATTAAATAACCTAGCCTAACCATTCTGTGCTATCAAGTATTTACATCAAATGGGAAATTAAGTAAATGAAGTGTTGAAATATATATCAGTGTTATTTCATAGTATGAAATAATACCTTGTGCTACCATATGTACCACAAAATTATATTTAATATTTTTTTCTGAATTATGAAATATTTTGATAGGATTTTTTGCTCTGCATCTCAAGCTGAGTCCATCCCCTGTAGCAGTATTTAATAATTTTTATCTAGACCTTATTTGTTAGCTGTAAGCTTTTATATCAGAAATTTATGGGGGCATATCTACATCATCTATGTAAACGTTTATTCATTAACCTAAATATAGAAATTTGGGTATCTGGATTGATTCCAATAATTGTGTTATTCATAGACATCTGTATGAGGGGATAAAGTACTTGCTGCCCAGCAGAATTAAGTAAATTTAATCTACTTGTGAGCTTTCTTAAATAGTTAAATAAAAATTTACTGATGTAATTATTTGTTCCCCCTGCACACACACACACATTTGTTCTTTTCCCTGACAAGGCAATCGATCCACTGAGGCAGTTAGCATATATCAGCCAGGTAGCTCTGCTGACAGAATTAATTAGTTTCATTTCCTCTATTACAAACTCAGGGTTATGTCTGGAACAGTGGCAAGTAAACCGATGTACTTCAGTTCTTTTTAAAAGTGTGGGGATGCATGACGAGTGGCTAATTTAGCCATGAAAGAAGGGTGCAATGCAGGTAAGAGCAAGTTCAGTTTCCACATGTGCGAAATGGATAGATATGACTTAAATATTGTTAAAGAGCTTTTAGAAAATTAGCAACTAATGTGTTCTGGAAATAATTCTAATACAGATACAAGATGTGACTGAGTTACGTGGATATGCTTGGCACAATCAGCTATATAATACATTTAATGTGACAGATTAAGTAAGGCAATAAACACAATTATTCAAAGTTAGAGTACATGACATTAAAGATTCTCTGTTCCTCACTGCAGATGCCCATGGTGGATGCCCTGCCAATCTTAATTGTTTTCTGAAATTATTGATGCAATTGATCGAAAAGAGTACTGCATAAACAGTGCTTCATACTGATCTTTCTGAAGATGATGGTCTGGAGACGAATAGCTGTTAACACACTCTGTTTGGTATTTTAGTTATTTAGCACAGGATTCCAACTGATGATCAGTGATTCAATTTTTAACTTACCTAATTTTCCTTGACCAAATATAATGAACTAGCTGTTAAATTAAGAATCAGCAACCAAATAATCCAGCATTTGTAATCTAGCTCCAGTTGTAGTAAACAGTTCTAATCTTGATATGGTTATCTTCTTCATGGTTCTAGATTGTGCTCGTAACTGAAGTTCCATTCTTTGATTCACAGGGGCCCACCAGCGGCCGAGCGGTAAAGTCGCTGAACACTGGTAGTTCGGTCCGAGGTTCGAATCCCGTGAACGGGCTGGCTGCATGGGCGTTTTCGTGGTTTTCCCCATGTGTAACGTGTATACGAGCCAGTTTCCCTTAGAAAGTCCTCCACGAAGACATCCCTCCCCTTAGGCAGATAGCCCTCGAGGCTTTGCCATAATCACACACACACACTTTGATTCACATCTTATGAATTCTGTGACAGTGTGCATTAGTTGACATGCATTAAAAAAAAAAGTATGCAAACTTGAATTGAGTTTCACTGCATCCACTAAAGCATCTGCATGCATTAGTTAAATATGACATGTCTTTTTTCCACTTAAACAACTCTTCATTTATGTTGTTATTCACTTCAGCTTCCAACTGTCCTTTGTCTTCCACGTCAACTGTAATAAAAACTTGGAACATAATTTTAAAGATAATATAAATCCTATGAGATTACATACTCTATTGAGAATAAGTAGGATTCCCTCTTAGTTATAACTTCATTTTCTTTAAATTCAAGGCCCTTTAGTCAGGTAGAGAAACAACTGCACTACACTCTAATAAATGGCTAATAATCCTAAAACATTTGGCTTGCTAAGTATAGGAGCATTCAAACAATTGCATTCCCACCGCTCTTAAGTCAAGTGAATTTTCATAATTTTGGTTGTTTCTCTCAGCTTTGATTTTTCTTCAAGTTCTGATTTTGTCTTCAACACTAATAAGGCAGTTATCAACATAAAAATTATCTTTCAGTTTTTCAACAATAAAATGGGACTAATTTCTTTCACCTTGTTCAGTAAGCTGAGTCCTAGTAATTAATAATTGCTTCTAATAAAAATGGACTGTAAGTGTCACCAAAGACCCTCAACTATGACTAGAAATTTCCAAATTTCTTTCTGTGTAAATAAGAGAGAGGAAACAGAGGTAATCCTCTTAACATGAATCTGCAATAATTCTCTTATTATGTCTGATAAGAGTCTTGATATGTCTTCCTATTTTTCCATATCAAAATATCATCAGTGTAGATGGTATACATTCTGTTAAGTTTATTCTAGTTTGTAAACAATCATTCGTTGGGGGAACCTTTGCTGATGCATTAAAAACTGGTGTGGTCTTAATTGTATGAATTTCATTCAAAACGTGATCAAGAAGAAAATGACCTTGTAGAAAATGTTCAGTTTCTGGAACTATTTCAGTTAATACATTCTTTCAGCCATTCTTCAAATAGTGACCTATTGTTTGCAAGACAATATTTTTCCAGCTTTCAGTATATGGAATCAAGTTTTCTCAAAGCAAGTTCATAATTATTAGACAGAGAATGGTGAACTTCTTTCCATGGCGTATGAACTGCCATTATACCTTTCAGGCACTGTGTCTCGGAAATGTTGCATTATAGCTTATTTAATTTTGTTTTTATGCCTCTACTGTGTTGTATCCGTAATACTTATAGCTTGCAAGCCCATACATTTGAAATGCTTGAATCCATTGGCAAGTATGATGTCATTTTTAACTTTATCTAACTTCCAGGAACTATTCCCATCAATGTCCATCCTATTTTAGTTCCCATGGCAAACACACAACCTTTTTTTTTCCCCCTGTAAAAATGTTTCCTGCAACATCTGATTTAATGAATTATTTCAGTAGAACTTAATTCCTTCTGTATATCACTTATAATAATGTTATAGGTTTCAAGTTCTCAAATCCAGGGTCAACAGCTAATCTGAGGGATATGACCACAAATCGTTTCTTGATCTAATGCATCCAGATTGCAAAGATAGTTAAGTTATCCATCAAGGCTACCTAAATAAATCTTATAAAATTCAGGTTTTGATGCATTTTTACTCCACCACAGATAAAAATGTGATGTACAATTTCTTGAATTGGGTGATAATTTATATTTAAAAACAGAAGACATTAAAATGCATCATTTCTCCAATCCTATATCAATTAGAGCACAAACATGTTGCTCTCCATTGTTCTGCATACATTTCACTGGAAATTTACAGTTCCTAGTCTTTCATTTTGTATGGTTTTGTCCTTTGGTGTTAGTGACATATTTTCAGCTTGGAAACATTCATAACTGTTATGTTTACCATTATACGAAAAGCATGCATTACTAAGATTATTTCTTAAAGGACCAATAAATCAATCTGTAGCAATTTTTGTGTTTGCTTTCTAATTCATCTTTTTATTTTCCGTAATCGTTTGTGCAGAATTCATAAAATCGTAAAAAAAATTCATATCTTTCCTTCCTGTGAAGCTGATCGCAGTTGAAATCTCAATTTCAGCCGATGCAGTAAGAACATTGGCCACCTATATTCAGGATAAAAATTGAACACGTTATTCATATATCTTGCATTCGAAGAGTTAAGGCATTTACTTTTAAAAATAAAATCTGTAAATATTATGGAAACTTATTGGTCAGTTTTGACTTCATTTCAAATAAATTCCATAAAAAAATTGAACACTCTTTTGGTGCTCTGTCGTTTGAATCTTAATAATTTTTCTAAAGTACAAGAATTTATTAAGAACAGCATTGTATGTTTCTCTCGCTACACCTAATCACCCTCAAATGCGATTTGATTTCTCATATCATGTTCTAACATAAAATCCATTATTTTTCTATTTAAGCTTTTTAAGTAACTTTTAAAATTCCCCATTTTGTTTCTACTTCAAAAACAGTGTTGGCATCATTTTTAATAATATCCACTACAAACTATGCAAAAGAAGTTCTTGCCAGTTTCCACACTTACAATTATTTTATCATTGTAAGTTATTAAAAAATCATTAATAATTTATAGAGTGTCAGTTACCCGAAAAAGCGACGAGGAGTAACAGCTCTCAGCGACAAACATGTCTTTACTTACACAGAAATGCAGATTTGTAACAGTTTGTGGTTTCACATATGACCCACTAGAAACATTGTCAGTCTAATAGATTAATAATAGTAAAATAAAGATATAAGGCTTATCAATACCCAACAGTAATTTTTCAATTTTAATGCTGGTCCTGCATATTTTTTCAGAACAAATGTAGAAAACGTGTACTGAAATATTTTTATAAGGCATTTATGTGATGTTCAATAGGCCTACAACCTTTTACTTATTTAAAAATTTTAATTAATCAAAATTGCATTATACAGCAAATGTTACAAGCAATGGCACATAGTAATTGGTGATAACACATCTAGCTTGAGAAATGATGTCAGATAAGTAAACAAAAATTACTGTTGTCATATCTGCGATGATTATTACAAAATAAATCTTTTTGATAACAGATTTAAACTTACGAACAAATTTTGTGCAGCAAGTTTCGTTTTAAGTCATGTCTTTTCAGAAAAAATTTTGGAAGCCATGCAAAATAAAACCTACTCATTGTGGCAGATTGTAATTTTCTTTGTAAATTGCTTTGGGAGGTTTAAGAATTAAAATTCCACCTGGTATTTCACAACATAGGGCCTTTATGTTCAGTAAATGTGCATTCAGTTTTAAGCGTATATTGGCGAATTATACTTGTAAACATTTTGTTCCTAATTTAAATGTAATAAATATTTTACCAACTGGAATTTGTACTCTGCAGGTCCATATTAATTTGGGGAGGTGGGCAGAAAATCTCAGCCAGTTAAGATAATTTTTATAAACATCTTCGCCTTATTTTAAAGAATTATAATTGGATGCTTATATGTAGGACTCAGAATTTAAGAAAATAAAGTCTAGCCAATTTTTCCCATTGCATTTTCAAATGCAGTTGTTAGTTTGTAATTGTACATGAAATTTCAATATGTAAGTGCTGCAATCTCAAGAGCTCCCAGGTTAAAATTTTGATTTCGTATTTTCTGAGTTTAAATAATAAATTCATTAGATTTTTTTTTGACTCGAAATGAAGATTCCCAATTTTTGGAACTGAATATATGTGTAAGGGGAATCATTTTGCTGCAAAATACGGGGCTTAACAGAAACAATTTTTCTTCAATAGCACTACAAAAGAAGCCAGAAGATATAAATGTCAAAGCATCAGATATGTGGAGTTATGCAATATTACTACGAGAATTAGCTACTCGAGAAGTCCCATTTGCTGACTTATCTCCTATGGAAATTGGAATGAAGGTATTTTTATCACTCTTCCCTCCCCTAAAAGAACATGTGCATGTTTTATATTGATATTGTGATGTGTAATCTGTTTCTGCACTATATTTTTTCTGTTTATTTTGGACATTTATATTGATGGTACTGTAAAAACCAACTGATATTTTTGTAGTTGTGATCTGATTGTTTCTATCTAGAGCATTTTTTCATATATAAAAAGTAAATAATTAATGCTTTTAACATATTTGACTACAAGCGTGCTCAAATCAATTTAATTTTCTTTGTAGATTGCTTTGGAAGGTTTAAGAATTACAATTCCACCTGGTATTTCACAACATATGGCACGTCTAATTCGTATTTGTATGAATGAGGATGCTGGAAAAAGGCCTACATTTGATATGATATTACCTATTTTAGAGAAAATGAAACAGTAGAACATGGTCAAGCAGAAGGCTCAGTGCGACTAATGAAGTTATATGAGAATTGAATTCAAGAAACATAGTGCCTGATATGCATTTAAAGCAAGTTGATGCTTGCAAATGTGCCATCAGAACAAGGGTACATTCATTGTCCTCTTATGAGAACTCCAAAAAAACCTTTTAACATTTTATTAATATTGTATCTTGGGAGAATCTCACTATATCAGTGTTATTTATAACAAGACATGCAGAATAAACATATTTTTGTGTACTGTATTAAGCTATATGTTTTTAATTTATATGTAATATAATGTAACTATTTTCAATTTATTCCTTGTACTGAATTTATATCTAACATGTCAATAAACATTTATCATTTTCCCTTTTTAGATAACATTTGAGAATCATTTTATACATGCATTGGGATGAATTGTTATTCAATTAAAAAAAATCCTGTCAAGTTTTCATCCTAATGATATAATAAATAGGAAACAAGGGATACAGGACTATTCAGGAATAACATTTAAAGTTCATCCTACAACAGTCTTGAGAGTTATTGGAACTGCTTAGATTGTATTTTTATTAGATTTAACTCCATTGCGATTTTAGTTTGTGAAAAAATTATTCATTATCCTATTTTCAAAACAGCATATTATGTAATTTCATAAAAATCAAAACTTATTTAGAACATTGTTATTTTAGAATAATGGAATGTGATATTACTGGTCACTATTCTGTTTACTGTGCAGGTAACGTTCTCATTCAGAAAATGTAGATATCTTTTTAAATAAATAATCACACAAACTTAACCCTTGTGAATGTCTTCGCAGTATAAATTTAGGTTTCTGAAAGGTTCTGTTTACCAGGAATATGAAAACTTGCTTAAATATAACTCATTATTGTGCAATTAGCTAGTTTAATAACTGATACTTTGCTTTTCAAACTCTGCTGGAAGAGTTATCTAAAATAATTTATAAGATATGATATATAAAAATGTAGCATGCTAAGGATTCGAGACTAAAAATGAACCAACTGCCTTGGGACATATTTTTCTGTTAGCCTCAAAAGGGTTAAAGTATAAATTATGACTGGCATTAAATAAATATAAAAACTTTGTAGTGTTTATCAGCATTAAAAAACAAGGATGCATTTTCTTTCCACAAGGATTAAAACTGCTTTTTGGTATTGGAATGAAAAAGGGAAAGCCACAGTTTAATTCTTTAGACCACTTACTAATCCTTCAACCTTTGAAATCCAGATACTTCCAATGAAAATATATACAGTCAAACCCCTTATAATGAATTAAAAATTTTCATATTAATGCTTAATGACACATTATCAATAAAATTATTTAATTGAAAGACGCTTTTAAACAATAAATAATCGCTCTATTTCTAACAAGTCTGTTACATCTAATGGTCAAAAGGATCCAACGATTTTGCCCAAAACTTAGAAATTATAAATCTGATATTAACTTTGTTTAAGGTATCCGACCTTGTACAAAAGACGATTTTCGGTCAAAATTTTGATTTTTACTGTATTACGTTATTTTAAAGAATACATCTTTAGCTATCAAATACAAGTTTTTGCTTGTTGATAGGTTAATTAGAACTGAAGTTATAAGCATTTTTCTGTAACTGAATAAACCGGAAGTTCCAATATTCTGGGCCGGAAGTGAGCGTTTAAATAGATATACCTATTTAGAAACTTTATTTATCATCAAGATTTTGTAAATTATAAACCTGCGTACTAAGTTTAGATATTTTGTAATACATTTTAAGAATCTGGTGTTAGTTTTTTCCTTTAATTTCGTATTTAGTTTGGCGCAGAGGGTATTCGACGTTGAATGTATGTGTTGCTGCTTTGTCGATTAGCGTTGACAAAGTGCTTGATTTGAAAGCTATGTCACATTTTTGCATCATTTGCAACAAAATAAACAGAATGGCATGCAATCTTCAGCACGACATATGTAAAGCGTAACATAATTGTTCTGCAAATTATAAAGAAGCAGCTTCGGGTATGGAAGCAGTTGGTGCTTATCCCCTGTTTGAATGATCTATTTACATTACGAAAGCTGAAGTACACGGAGTATTACGAGGATGGGGATTCTAAGGGGTTTTTAATTGTGAAAGATATATATGGTAAAGATTCGGTCAAGAAAGTGGAATGCATTGAACATGTACAGAAAAGGGTTGGTAGTAGACTACGAAAAGTAAAAAACTCCGCTCCTGAATTGAAAGGAAAAGGTAAACTGACTGATTCTTTTATTGATAAACTGCAGAATTAGGGATTGCAATTAGAAGTCATGTTTGAAACTTAATTGAGATGCAGCAGGTTGTACTAACTGCTTGTTCCATTGTAGCTCTTCTTCGAAGCCAATGCCCTGCTCAATAATCAATGAATTGGTGCAACTATGAATGTGTGATTGCAGAAATCAGAAAGAAAAAAATTAGGCAAAAACCTCTGGTATATCAATATATATTTTGAATTTAATTAAACCTACATATATGGAGTTGACTACATAAGCAAGAGTTATTAAAAAGTGTCTACATGGCAAAACTCAAAATATCAAGGAACGTTTTAATGGCATTTTATTGCAAATTGTTCCGAAAGAAACATTCATAAACTTGCGAATATTAATGTTTGGAGCAAATATAAGTGTTGTGTTATTTAATGTTGGATTTATAGGTTTGCTTGAAGCGTTTTTAAGGTTAGGTATGTTCCCTGAATTTTACACTGAGCAGGGAATTCGAAAACTTGATAAAGTGCAAAATCATGACTTTTGATGGCATTCCACGAGTTTTTCAAAAGCCCAAAGAAAAAATTACGCTTTGTTCGAAAGAAAAGGTGCAAAGTATGGGAAGAAAAAAACAAGGTGTCAAGTTACAAAGCAGAGGAATTTTAATTATCAGGGATGCTTCTTTCACTAAGAAATTGTTTTATGAAAACTTTAAACTTGTTTTCTGAAAAATGTTTTTTCTGTAAATATTGCCAATGGTAACAGCCATAACTCAAAATTTTATGGATAAAAATTAATGATACTTTCTATATATGTTTCATATAATCTGATGCATGCTCTGAAGCAAAAGATTTTAGAAATATTAATTAGAAGTTGAATTGTTACTTTTTATTTTTAGATTTTGGATGCAATAATAGGAAAATATACAGTAAATACTATATATTTTGACATATCTCAAGAATATATGAATATTTCTTAATTATTTTGCTTCATTGCATACAAAACAAGTGTAAACATAAATACAAATTTAAAAAACTGCATATTTATATATACATTGTTCACCGTGGTTGTTGCTGTAAAGGCAAAATTTAAGATAAAATTATCCTTTTTTTTCATTATTTTTCAAAATTACAATTACTTAGCATTACGTTTTAAATTGTTTTCACTCTTTAATATGCTTATAGTTAAAATAAAAACCATTTTTAAAAAAATGGTACGCGAACAAGGTCGGACACCTTAAGACTTTTTTCCACTTTACCCAATGCTAGCAACCATAAAATCATGAATTTGTTAAAAAAAAAGATATTTGCAAAAAATCGTTTCAAATTAAATCTTAGAAAATATAAACCAAATTTTAAAAAATTCACTTCACCACATTGTTTTGTTATTTACAATGAGTATGTGTGCAAAGTCTGAGCTCTTACACTTATCAGGAAATAGTTTTAAAATTGACAGCTAAGTTTTGACCATAGGGACAAACACCATAAACAAGTTGTAAAAAAATGCTAAGTAAAAAAAATAAATAAATAAAATTCACCTAATTAATATAAACCTTTGAAAATTCCAAACCTTACAGATACATTTTGGGATGTTAGAACTTTAAAGCTCCATCAAACAATGCAATAAATACTACACACCCCAATAAAATTTTTTAATGAAATAAAAAAATGTGTATAAGCTTAGGAAATGTACTAAAATGGCACAATAGATTTCATTGCAAATAATTTTAAATGATGATCAATCCCGTTGTTTTTAACCATGAGTCATGGAAGCAAGAAACAATGATGTAATGACATCATCTTGAAAGTAAAGAAGCTACATTTTCCCCTTCTGTTTCATTATTATTATTTTTTAGGGCAAAGAAATTGTTTTATAAACTGCAGAAATTTTAAAATAGATGTTAGAATAGGAAGAAAAAATCAAGCGATTTTCGAAAATTCGGCAAGACATCAAATATGCCAAAAGTTTTGTATGAATTCCATTAAAAATTCATTCATTTTTCTTGGTCTATTTCAGTGGTCGCCAAACTCATGATGCTTCTGGGCTACTGTATCGTTTTTAAATTCTGTGAACTACCAAGACTAACATTTTTTTAAAAATCTTATATTTGTTTATTGCCTATAAAGTCACCATTTCTATTGAAATTAATTTAATTAAACTGTATATAACAAAAAAAATGAATTGTACCTATGAAAATTCAAGTGTAGTTAGTAATAAATAAAAAATGTAATAACATATTTTTATCAAAACTTAACTTTAATGAGAAAGATGGAACTCCTTTTTTTCCATCAATAAACTTTTTAATGTTGGTAGAATAGGTAGTGAATGCCATTCGAATACAGTTCTCCAAGTGTTCATCGGTGAGTCTTCATTTTCTGTATTTATTTTTAATAAATTTCACAATGGGAAAAAGAAATCCCACACAGAGCTGAACATTACATTCACTTTGATACAAACCTGGATCAAAACTGGGTATTTTCCTTTAGGAACAAAAGGCCAAATATTTTCAGAGCTTAAAGAAAGGTCTTACAGATAAATTATTTTAAAAATCAATCGGTTTGAACTCTACTGCAGCATTGTCTTGAAACTCAAAATGTTCCATGACACAAGTAGAGAACTCTTCAACATCAATCTCTATAAAAGGTAATTTAAGATTGGAAATCCTTTTGAAATCTTCGAAGCGTTTGTTGAATTCAACGAGATAGTATACTGGTAGAGAGCGTATTGCAACCTTCAACCGGTTCCAACGTTAATGTCACGTGACTGCTGCGCAAATTCCGAAAGTCCGGAAATACTTTACATTGCTTTCTATGGAACGAAAGACTGCTGCTCTGCTTGGTCACATAAAATTTAAGTAAAAATGGTTATTCGCTGCAGCGCCTACGGATGTAAAGAAAGTATCGTGAAAGGAGGACTTGTAACCTTTCATAGGCAAGTAAAACTGCATGATTTATTATTTTATTTTCAGTATTTTTGTCATTTTACTATCTCTGTTGAATTGGTTGGAAAGTTTCAGCCATATTGTATAAGAAAATTGCCGCTGTATATGACATTTTCAGCATGTATTATTAGCATCAAAATGTATTAAATACTGTGACACTATTTACTGGAATCACCCTTTACAAATAATTGAATTTTATGTTTTTCCCGTGTGTTCCGTTGAAATAGAAAGCTGCGCCAATTGGCGTTAACCTTTTTTCGCCAAGTCGTACGCGTTTTGATTTCATAAACAATTACTGCCTGCGATAAAAAAAAAAAAAAGAAAAGAAAAATGCTATTATTAGCATTAAATTATTGAGAAAAGATTGTGCGATATGTTTACTTTGTTAAAAAAAAAGCTGAAGATCATGATTCATGCAACATTGAACGTAAACAATTAAACAGCATTATTTTAAAATCAGATTACTTTTATAAAGCTCAATGCTTTATCATTATTTTCTATAAAATCAATTAAAATAAAAATAATCTGGATTATAATTCTGTCTCATCTACGATGCTGTTAGAAATTTATTATAATTGAAAAAATGTGATGTGAAAAACTTACCATATTTTAAATAGTATTTAAAAAAAAAAAAGGAGAGTGAGAGAATTTTTAACTGTAATATCGTTTTGATCCTAATAATAAATACTGAGTTGAAGTTTGTTACCATTTGATACATATTCAATATAAAATATTTGTTATAGTTAATAAGATGTATTGATCCCTGCCATGACATACACATGAGTGTGGAAATCAGTAATTAAGATTGCATTATTTTGTCCCAGTAATATAATCTCAAGAAAAGAGAGTGCATTATTTTGTTCCAGTAATATAATCTCAAGAAAAGAGGGGCAATAAATGGCATAAATACATATAATACAATGTGATTTTCTTTTTCTCTTTAGGATGCAATGCATTAAAATTAAACGAGATTTTTTTTTACCTTCTCAAATATTATAACAGTAGTGCAATTAATTTTTTAACGTTATTCAAAATTAAAGTTTCCATCTCAATTTTTTATTATTTATTTTAGATTTTCTTCCTAAAATTATTTAACCTAAACATCTTAAACAATGGTGCAAATAATTTAAAGCGATTATTAAAAATATAGATAAAATATTCAGGAAAAAAGGGGTTAAGTTATATCTAAATATAATTGTAAAAAATCGAACAACCTAATTCGAGGCCGTTGTCTGCTGACTGCTAGCAGACGGAAATAAAAAGCACTACCTGCCATATCAAAGCGGGCCAAACTGGCGATGAACAGCCTAAGTTATCACTCTCCAAGAGCATTAGTCACGTGGTATATGTTGGAGACACCCTAGCAGATGAATTCTCTGTGGGTGAGCCGTCTACCTGTCATATGAAGTCGTTGGTTGAATTCACATTTGAATCTCGTATAATTTCAATGTATTATTTGTTGTCGTAAGGAGGCGTTAAAAAACCCTTGCTTGCCAAGGGTTTGTTTCAAACAGGCAAAGTGTTTGTATTCACCTTCGATGATAATTTACCCCACAGTTCCAGCTTTCTTCAGAATAAAGCAACATCTAAAATTGCTCCACCAATATCTTGATCATTACCTTGAAGCTATAAGTTAAAAGATATTTAACTTTTCGATGATGTCTACGAGAAAAGCAAAACCTGCAGCCAAACGGGATCTTTTAGATCACTGAATCCTCTCATTCTTTCAAAAACTCTGCTAATACAGGAAACAACTGATGAAAACATTGTAAAACTCTGTCTCTACTCAACAAATGAACTTCCGTACGAAGTAGATCAGCATACTGGTAATCTAGTTTATCAGTCAACACTCTGAATTATACGTACTCTAACTTGTTCACTATTTTTAGTACTGTTTTCATTACATTGTTCATACTTAAAAATTTTCCACAGAGTGACTCCTGGTGTATTACACAATGGTAAGGCTGAAATTTTGGAAAGTTGTTGTCTTTACAACACGAGTTTATGAATCCCTTCTCTCTGCCTACGATCACATGAGCTACATCAGTTTGTAAACCTACAACTTATTTATATGAATATTTTCAGAGTTGATAAGATCTTTAACTGCTAAAAATATGTCCTGTTCTGTAGTGCATTCTGTTAACAATATAATCTTTACTAACTCCTCTCCTACTTCAAAATTATCAAAAATCATTCTTGCAAAAATGACCAATTGACTTGTATCGAAATAATCAGTCGTTTCGTAAAGTTGCAGGGAGAAACAGCTGCAGCGATCAAAGTCAGTTTTAAATTGTGAGATAACATCAGAACTCATAACCTCAAACCTTCTTATTACTTTATTTGCAAAAAGCTGTGCTGATTTAATAGCAGACATTATCTGTTATTTTTGAAACTATCAAATAATGCATCTGCAGCTTCTAAAAGTACAGTTTTGATTATTTCACAGTCTTCGTGTATGGTTTCCTATACTGTGTAATAAGTATCTGAATCCAATGACGCCTCAGTTGCTGCTGTATTCTCATTAAATGATTTTTTAAAAGTTGATTGTTGAGCTTCAAGTTTAGGCTTTAGCTGCGTTACCTTTTCTTTCCTTAGAGCAGAATTCAGTGGGGAAACCCTTTTCAGACCCTGTGTGAATGGGTTGTGAAGTGACATTCAACGCTCCTTTTCCCAACTCATAACTTGCATAGTACAATAAACACACACTTTTGTCCTTTACCTGGGTAAAGAAGTAATCTGTTTTCCATGAGGAATGAAAATGATAAGTTTTCTGCATTTTGGTAGGGCCTACTATCATTAGAACAAACATAGCTTAGTACCAATGAGTAAATCAGACTATTCAAGTTAGCAAATGTCTAATATACACCCAAAACCATAACGTGCACAACCTCATGCATATACAATCAACTATGAGATGAGGTTGACATTGGCAGCTGCATGGGAGAAATAAGCAGTTTTTGTCCTCAGCATCAGGTCAGTGTACGAATCGAGGTTCTTTAGTTTGCTCGTTAAAGCAAGCTATGTGCTAAGAATGGTTTAAATATTACAAAAGATGCTTCACTACATAGCATTGTCATCCACAATATATGTACAAAATTTGAACTCTATAGCGTATCAGAAAGAAGATTAAAAATTAGTGACAAACTTTTGACCATGCAACAACAGCATGAGTGAACTTAAAAAAAAGCTTTAAAAAATTCTAGCCAGAATTTGAGGAATTTAAAAATAATCCTATTCTTGAAAAACATTTGACACTCATGTTCATGTTAGTATAAACAATTCATGTGATAGTTCAAGAAATAATTGTAGCTTTAAACAATGTATGCTATATAGCTATATATAACATAGAAGTACACTAAAGAAATTATAAAAAAATATTTTATAGCAGTTACATACACCAAATTGAACATGTCAAATATTGTAAAAAAAACCTACATTTTGTGCAAATTAGCTGTAGCAAGAGTGCGTATTTATGCAAATTTATAAGTAGTCACTAACTTACATAAAGTATAGGTTGGAAATTAGGTGAAGCACCAATGAATTAATTAAATGATTTACATAAATTAGACAATTATAAATTGCATTCTATGACAAAATTTCTACTTCTTTAGAAATACTGTATTGAAGGGGGGAACACTGTTAAACTGATGTAAAATTGCCTGTCTAAAACTAAAATGTTGCCCAGTTTTGTCAAAATGTTCAGTAATAAAAAAACTTCATTTTTCACTAAACTGTAGTAGGTTTGCAGCTAACTTGTATAATTCCTTTTGAATATGCAGAGATAGTTCTGTTCCCTCCAAACCGCTTTAATGACTAAAAAGTTGTTTTAAATAGAAGTATTGCTATATAATTGTCACATAACTGGAAGCAGGTTAATAAGCTCTTGTAGATTTCTTCTAGACTTCTAGATTTTGTAGATTTACAACAAATTCCTGTATTTTAGTTTTCCAACATAAATTTATCATATTCATCATACATATCTTTTGATACCATCCATATTTATTTTATACATAGAAATAATTTATTCATGTGATGCATAAGTTGATAGATAGTAATGCCTGCTATAAAAATAATTTATGATATTTTCTTTGTATTTTAGTTCATATTTCTTGCAAAAGTCTAAAAAATTCAGTTCATCAATGTAATCACTAACTGAAACATATAATTTTTACCAAGTTCACTAACCAAAATATGTGATTTTTAGAATGCTTTTGTTACTTTTACCAATTGGTTTAAAATATTGTAAACATTTGTGTTTTTGTCAAGTTTCACTATGATCAGATATATGTTCTCATGTATATTTTATGAAATTTTTTAATAGTGCTTGGATTTCATAAATTAAAAATGTTTTATTTACAGAATTTTTATCACTGCAAACTTATATGCCAATAATTTCTATGTATCATGATTTTTTGTTGAAAGAAACAATCCACTTATAGTTAAGATTTTTGCAATTTAGATCATTTATCGAGCACTCATATATACTAACAATGTACTATTTTATCAAACCAAATAAATGTTGCTACCGACACTGGTCTATAATTAAAAAAATACTATTTTAATTATATAAGTATCTAAAGAGTTAAAAACAGAATGAGTAACTACAAGAGAAATATTTATTTTACGTGAAATACCAGACACAGAATGTGCTAAAAATATTTATTCACCAAACAAAAATTTAGAGAAACAAATCAATAATCTCTACCTGTGGCAAAATAAAATGACTAGAAAGAGGACACTGTATTTTAATTTTTTTTTTTTTTTTTTTTTAAATTTTTTTTTTCAGTAGATGACATATTTCAAAATATAGCTAATTCCATTAGAAAAAGCAGTAAAACATTTTCTTTGAAATTCTACATTGTAAATTTCTGAAAATGCATTTTGGTACTAAATAGGTGATATTTCTAAAAGCCAAAATGATACAGATGACAAAAGAAGTAATAAAATGTCCAATACACATGAAAAATGATACAGCATAAAGAAAAGAAAATCTTGAAATTATAAATCTGTACAGAAAAGTTAACATTCTACTTTACGTATATAATCATTTACTTGAAAACTCAACATTGCTGACAAAAATTTAATGCACAGAAGGAAAAAGAAAATTGTTCATAAAGTATAAAACTAAATACTGTCCAGAAGACTGGTTTAAAATAGATTATTTTTGAATTTATGATGGCACTGGAAGGTTCAGCTACTTAAGGTATTGTTCTTTGTTTTTAACAATCAAAAATATTTTCTATTCTTTTTAAGAATACTGAAACTAATAAAATTTTAATTATTCAAAGTATTTTAAGTTATTTAAAATTTAGTTATTTTAAGTTAATTAAAAATAACATTTCTTTATTCATTGAAATGTCCACTGCAAATAAAATTTTATTTCTGACATTAAGGTAACACTGATTATTCATTTACATTTGAAACAATTATACCTACCAGAACTTCAATCAGTTTAGAATTTTTAGAGCTTAAACTGAATCTTTATGATTTCAAGCCAGCATGTCATTTTCTATCAGAATTCATATCACTATTACTTTTTCCAGCATAAATCCATGATTCAGTACTTGAATTTCTCAACCTTGTTTCAGTATTTTGTACCTATTGAAATAATCATCGTTAAGGTATGCAGTAATTTGTATCTTGCCTTGTATTTATATGTATAGCTACATAAAAATTTAATATTTCTAGGCATGATTTGCCAAAATATTCCCCACCCCCCACTGTTTTAGCTTATCAAAGTTCTACTAGTTTTGTACAAAGTGATAAATGGAAATCAATATACATTATTTTATAAAACACTTCAAAATTAAAGAATCTCATGACAAAATATATTAAAAATCATGCGTTATATGGCATTACAAAACATTAAATTGATAGAACATTGAATATTTTACATTATGGAATTACAAACAGAGCATATTACAACATAGAAACAAGCACTTCAAAATAATGTAGGACAGTGCATTTACATGGAATGTATATTACCAATGCACTTTCTAAGGAAAACACATTTCTGAGGTCTCAAAAATATGTAATAAGTGAATAAATTAAAAGCATTAACTCCATAATCATATAAATATGCATTCACAAATTAGTTACAAAAATAAAAATTAAACATATTGGAAATTATGTCCGTATTTCAAACTTTTAAATGCCTAATAATACATATATAATTTACAATGCTTCACAGCAGATTTTTGTTTTTGTTTGTCTAAACGTTTATGTCAGCAAATATTGTAATGTAGAATTACTTCCATAATGATGAAACTGCCTGCCCCCCCACCAAAAAAAAAAGGCAGCTTCATATGTAAACATCAGAAATATCTCAAATAATTTTTTCCTTCTTTTATGTGACAAAGTGCAGATATTCAATGCAACAGCACCCCAAACAATGTCTGTATGCAATACGTCATGTCAATAATTTTAAGATTTATCAATTCACTTTTATATGCAATTTTCATAATCAATTAATCCTTTAACACTTTCATACCTTTTGTATATTTCCCATATTTTTTTAGTTTCCTTAAATACACATTATAAACCAAGATTAGGCAAACTGTGGCTTGTCATACATTTTAGTGTGGCATGCCAGCAATTATCATATTTCTTAAAATAGTTTTTTTGTCTTTTGATGCCTCTTTAATTAAAATAATTTTAAAATTTCTAACACATTTTGAATTTTTCAGCTGGTGAACTATTTTGCAACTTCTAGTTTTATTCCAATCAAGATAAAAGATCACCACTCATTGGAATCCACCTCAAAAAGGACTTTCATGTCATTCGGTAGTTCCTATAGAAATTCATGAATGAAATTATGCAAACTTTGCAGAATAATTGATGAAACTTTTGGCCTAAAATGGCAGTTATTCTCTGAGAAGAAAAAGCATGAGTCCTAACAAAGAGGAAGAATCTTCTTGTAATGTCGCACCACTCACAATTAGATAGAATTTGTAAACACGTATGAAACGAAGCAAGATAATAAGTTATAATAATGCCTAGATTCAAATTTGTCCCACTGTGTGATACTGATGGCAAGTGCATGAAAGTAGGGATATGACTATTGTTCCAAGTTTTAATATCTCTGACAGCCATCCTGTAGTTTGTTTTTTTACTTTGATCATATTGAACTCAGTAGCAATAAAAACAATTTCTGCATCCTTTTAAAAATAGATAAGAAAAGTCAAACATGAGATTTATATGTTCAATAAAGAGTAATGCAAAAAGTTTGTTTTTTATTATTATTTTGTTGTTGATTTTGATGTTAGTAAAGCTATTTTTCCAATTTGCACAGAGAGTATACCAATGGTTAAAGAATATATTAGAAAACAATTTGCTATTAAATATGCTGAATGTGGTGCTAATTTAATTCCAAAAACAGTTGATGGATTGACTCAAAATTTATCTAAACAGGAAATGCCTTCACATAGCAAACTAAAGAGCAAGAAACTCGGATAGAAGCAAAATTTGTTTTCCCTCATATGATTGCAAAAAATGAAACAAACTGCGTCTTGATGAAGATCATATAAAAAAATTCATGATTGAAGCTTGGGTGATCATAAGGCATAATATGAAACACAAACCTGAGATATAAGTTTATCTTGGAGAACCAATGTAAGAAGAACTGAATCTATTGTCAAAAATATAAATGAGCAATTACTATTGCTTATTTATATAACATGATACCTGACTGTTCTATAACATGTTCTAACTCCTGACTATTCTTGACAAAAGTAATGATGAAACAAGTATTGCACAGTTAATTTTTTTATAAGTGTGTGCCTCTAAATTTGAAATTATTAAGCAGCACTTTTCAATGGAAATTAAAAACCAAACAATGGGACGATGTATTCGAAAAAGTTAAAAATCTCATCACGAGTTATAATTTAACATGCAACATACTGGTAGCTGACACAGAACTAAGTATGTCAGGAGAAAGTGTTGGGGCACAAAAGAAAATGCAGGATAAAATTTGTATGAATTATCTTGATTACAATTTAATTATTCATTTGATTATACAGTAAAAATTTCTTAAAAGTAACATGCACCATCCTGCATTGTTACACTGTTAAACTAATCATAAATTTATAACAGTCAGGGGCTTAAAATACAGATTTATCATTTTTCTTTGCGATATTGAATATAAACACAGAGATGGCTTAGGTTTGAAAAAGTTCTTTTGTGAGTAGGGGATCAAAAAGATATCATTATACTTATAAAAGTAAAAAATATTATAGACTTTCCTTGAATTACCCAATAATGATTGGATTTGTGATGTTGCTTTTACTGTAGACATCATGACACAATTTGATGTTATGAGATAAAAATTTATATGCCTATGATGTGGTTAAAAAGTTTGATTCCAAAGTAGAGCACTCCAGTTGTTATAGAAATGTTTATTGAATAGCGAGATAGACTACTTTTCAAACATGAAGTTACTAAGGAAATCAGGAAGTTTCTAAATATAGTGAAGCATTAGTGCACCAAATGACGAGTTTTCATGAACATTTGACGATTTTCGAAAAATATAAATATGACTGGCAATAGCTGATAATCCATTTTCAATCAAAACTGATAGTACAGCAAAGAAAGCTCTAACTTGTAATAATAGCTGTGCAGTGTTATACTGATTTAATACAATGCCACAGTCACAAAGAGATCTGTAAATTTAACAGTATTTTTAATTTGGAAAAGTTAAGGATTTTGGGTGAATTTTTTTTTTTTTTTTTTTAATCAACCACCTTATGTGAACAAACGTTTTCTTAAGTTTCACACATTATAAATCTCAGTACAAATGCATTAAAATCAAGCATCACATACAATAATTTGAAAGCAAGTTTAAAATCTCCAGTACAAAATTAATGTTTGAAATTTTAAAAAAAGGCAAATGAAAGATGTAAAACAATATCATTTGTCTCCCATTCAACAGCTGGTTGTTAAAAATTTCTGTGCTTTTACCTTGTTCTCGTTCTCAGCAAATCAAGTGCTGAAATATTTGCTATACTAAGATGGGATAAATATTTTTAACTCTTGGGAAATTGAACGACAAGAAAAAGTTACCATTCTATTTCAGTACATGCTTAGCAAAATTGTGAATGATCACTGTTTGATAAGAAACAAAATACTAGCAACTATGATGATACAGGAAATTTACATTTTACTCTCATAGCAGATATTTTAGCTTGTGCATCATGCAGTCTACTATGCACACTAAATTTCAAGAACACAAAAAATAGGCAATTTAGTGGAATATGATTATGTAACAGATACAAAATCTCTCTCTCTAAAATAGTCTTTTGAAAACAGCACCCATCCCTAGTTTCAAATCTTGAAAAAATAATCAAGTCACATAACTAGTTACAGTATGACAAGCCACACCCTTGACCTTAGCATCTACTTTTAGTAATCACTAAACCTTTGTAGAACCAAAAAAGTCCAGTGCAAAGACACAGATATATAATCTCTTTTGTCAACTTTTAACTGGGAAAAAATTCACACTTGAAAAATTGTAGCTCAGAAGTCCCTCAGAAATAAGAATATTCTCATTAAGATTTTGATCATATATGGAGAGGAGTATTAAGTTGATAACAGAATGCCACTAGATGGAAAGATTTCCAAGCAGTAACTACTGCTACTCTGGTTTATTGCTCTTAAAGCAGTCAGTGATAGTAAAACTGGAATAACATGATACGTTAGAGAAGTAACAAAAGTGTATTCTAAGCTACTGCAGCCAAGAAATATATCTGTTAATAATTAGTAACAGAGCTTTTTGATTTACATGTAATTTCCTGCAAAAAGCAAAAACATCACATACATTTAAAATAAGACAAAACAGCAGTCACACACATATTCATTCTGTATGAAGACAAATTTGAAAAACTCGTGCAGCCAGACATTTCACTCACTGAGATCAGAAACAATCTACCATTTTGAGACTTTAGCCATTAAGCCACTGGTCAGCCTAAAGAAGAGAGATTTGAGTTTTGTCTGCATACAGCATTTCTGTAAGATTAAGGTTAATCTGGGGTGTATTTTACTAAATTTTAAAGATGAATTTAGGCTTAATATTCAGTTTACAAAAAGTGCATACAAAGTTATGGTGATAACCCTTCATGCAAAAATTTATTCACATGAATTGTAGTGATATATACAAGAATTAAGGCATTCATGGCTCTCTCTTTCTGATTTCAATCCCATTTTTAACAAAAATTCATAGCTTTTACCTTTAAAAGAAAAACTATACAGAACATCCACACAATTTACTACTATGCACTTAACTGTTACATAACAGATTATTTAAAGAAATTATAGTTAAATTATTGACTCAAATCAGTCTTTTCATGCTCGGTATCAAATGTTTAAAAGAGATATGCATGAAAGTTAAGTGAAGTTTGAACTTTATAATCTCTCACTGTGGGATCTCTTAAGCTATGTCAGCCAAGAAGAATCTTAAATTACTTTTACAATCTTAAGATAGATGCTTAAAGGATAATTAAATATAATTTTTCAAGAAATTACGCTTACCTAAAAGATTTTATCAGAACACAAATGAAAAAAATTAATACTTTAAAAATATGAAGAGAAAAAAAATTCAGCATGGTAAAGTAACTGCAACTTACATTGTTTGCTTAATCAAAAATCTTCTTATACTTTATTTATTGACATAATTGTAATCAAAATATTTTATGCAACATTAATAACTAATCAGTATTTATGCAAAATATGATTTGCCCCTTATTTAAAAAATATATTTCCTGGTAAATAATAAAACTGGATTTTACCACATTAACTTTTTTTTAAAGGCCGCATGGAAAACGAGTCATGGGACACTTAGAAATTACGAACGACTATATTTTTATGACTAAGTGTTATGAACCAAAAGAAAAATTGCTTTTTCTTAAGATCAGATTTTCCAGCAGCATCGTATCTGTGCTTCCTTTGTCCTTAGTTCTTTTCTTCTTCAAACTTCATCATTAAGAACTTCATGTGAAATCCTTGTTAATCAACTGAATTTATGTCAAATTTAAAATGTACATGTCAAAATTTAAAAATTGCGTGATATTTTAAAAAATTATAATTTTTATTTTTCAGAAACTTTAAATCACTATAATTTAAAAAATAATTCAACACCAGAAAGAACCCAGATGTTCCCTCCAGGTTACGCCTTGGCTTCCTTGACTATCTCTCTAAATCGAACTTATCTGTTATGAACTCGCATTTACTATTTCATTTAAGTGAGAAAATTATCCTTTAAGTGATTATTTTCCTCTGTGTCTCCTAATGCTTCATGCTATTGGAAAAAATTATCATAATCAGTTTTGAAATAAAGATATTTCTTTCTCAAATAATCCAAAAAACAGTGGCATGATAATTTTACTATCTCACGCAAATTAAAATGCATGAATATGAATGTCAAATGGTTGTGCCCTTCCCGTGAATTAAAATTTCCATCTTCAAGACAGTCCAACATGTTCGGATGAATATTTGCAAAAAGATAAAAAAGAAAGAAAGTCAATTACTGGCAAACTCTAGCATAAAAATATTGTGGTAAAATATATAATTAAATTGCAATAAAATTAGTATACATTTATTTTACTAAGATAGATTCCTCTAGAAGCAACGTGTTGAAGCATGCCTAGAAAATTCATTAATCTTCATTTCATTATCAAACTTTTCACCAATTACTTTAACCATCTCACCTATTCTTATCCCCAAGAAATTTTTGACAAAATGCTAACAACTGAAAATATAAATCTGGCAAATGCTAGCCGCTGAAATATTATTTTATCTATATAACATAATTATTTTATTTCATTAAAGTGAAATTAAAAAATTAATATTTCAAACACATTTTACATTACTAAGTAATGACAAATATTTCGAAATTCTTTAGCAAACCAAGGAAATAGTGTGGATGATCTTGCAATAAATTTCCAAATGCTGTCTCAAAGAACTTGAAAACTTGTAATTATGTAAAATTTTGCTCCTCCTGAAATATTTTAAAAAAATTATTGCATGCCACTATTATAAAAAATGGTTATACTTTGTCAATAAAACATACTGACAGCTAAATATTAAATTTTAGATTGACATTTAGTTCGGTTAATTCCAATATGCTAAATTAACCACTAAATAATTAACTTTTAACCTAAACTGGAAATTCCAAACTACCGACACACCACCAGCTGTCAGCTGGCAAACTAAATTCACTCAAAGACAAAGCATTTCATTTTTCTTTCAATTGTGTTGTGCACATAATCTCAGTCCATATCTTTATACCTCTGAAATGACAAGCAACAAATACATAACTGAAATGTATTTGAGAACCTCATGCATCTGCAAGTTTAAGACCACTGCACTAAGCCATCACAAAAAGCTTTTGCTAATAAGTAGTAAAAAAACACAGAACAAAAATGTCAAATCTAATTTATAAAACTAATTGGTTACATAAACACAACAGGAGCAATTTGCAATCTGAATAGAGAAATCACAGCTCAAAGAGACCTGCTTATAACAATGTATTTTTCATTTTCTTTAGATGAACTTTGAATGTCTCACTGGACCTCTCTTAACCAAAAATTAAATTACTTCCTCAGCTGAATAATTAAGCCAATTACTTGATAAGTAAGAGGCTCTACACTTTCAGAATTCAAAAGTTCAAAGTGTAACCAATGATATCCTCATAGAGTTGTAGAGCCATTTAAATTTCATAACTTCATTTAAGTGACCCCCCAAAAAAAACTCCAATAAAGAGAAATAAGGAAAAACAGAAGAGCCTAATAAATGGCCAAGCTGTTAGAAAAGTAAATCTTACAATGTTTGTTTCATATCTGAGAGTATAACCCTATACATCCACTCTTAAGCATAATAATCTAAAATTTCTTCTAAGAAAAGTTTGCACATTCTTAATATATAAGTAGAATCATTTTTCAAGATAGCAGTTACATATTAGTATGTAAAATTAAGAGTTTTAACATGAAAAAGTAGCTTTTATGAAAATGAGTTACGAATATAGAAACAACACAATTATTAAATATTGTAAGTTACCTAACATTTTGCATGATAAAAACGTATGATATCCATCATCACTGCTACAGATATTTAAGAAAATCATGTTATTACCATACTTTTAAATTTCAATAAATAAATTAAACATATCTAAAAAATTTTGATTTATAAGCAAAAAAGGTATAAAAAAGATGCTAAGTTAAATTTAAATGTAGCTTAATCTACTGTTGACAATATGAATATTCTTACTAGAAGAATAATATAAAATTAAAATTATTTCAGAAAAATCCTTAATGCATTAAATCTTAAAAATAAACTGCAGATCAAAATACAACATTGCAGCAGTATGCATTTGGAAAGTCAATGGAAGTCCGTAATACAGTAATTAAACTTTAAGCATCATGTCACAAAATCAATATTAATGATGACATTACCTGAATATTGTCTAGATAGCATAATTAATTATCTGTAGTATAAATAGCTGCTCCTCCACTGGGTTTGGACAAAAAAATGACAGTTTCAATATCTATAGTCTGAGATATTCCTTTCTTCTCATAAAAATTTCGTTTAACTGCATTCAAAAATTCATCCACTTGCTTCTCCATAATCAAAGAAACACAGCATCCACCCCACCTTTAAATTAGATACACACATACATAAAAATCATTATTTCACAAATTTAGCAGCATTCCTGTCATAATGCTCATATGTACTCCAAAGGAAAAAAGACATTAGGACATTTTCCAGAAATTTCTTTAATTAAAAATATTTTATATTTTACATAATTTTTATAAATTATATTTTTCTGAATTACATATATCTATAGGTGGAATATTTTTTAAATAAAGGTAATACAGCAATATCTTTTTAGAGCATTGCTTTTGCAATTTTGAACCTGTGCAGTGTATACTGGTATCCCTTACAACTATACAGTATATGTGCAAGGGCCTTGGACATTAACAGGAGAATGTGCATGCTTTGTGTCACATGACGAAAATTTTTAAAATGATTCAGCAGTGTACTGCTTGTGAAATAAGGTCCATTATTTGCTTCCCAATGAAAGGCATGTGAAAACAGCAGAAATTTATTGTTAGATTTGTGAAATATATGGTTTAAATGCCATTAATGACAATAAATCTCATAACAGGGTGAGGCTGTTTAAAGGTCAGGAGAGTATACATGATGAACCACATATGATAACCATCTGTAATTGTCAACAATTTTGTATGCATAGAAGACATCCTAATTCATGATAACAAATGGATCATTATTTCCTTATAATCAGTGAATTTCCCAGTCAGTTCTTTATAAAATTGTGTTGAAAACTTGAGTGACATAAAATTTGGTCTCAATTGATACTGTGGACACCTACAGAAGAACATAAAATGAGAAAATAGGTCACTAGTTTTAATTTTTGATCTTATATACTATGAGTAACATCAACTTTTCAGTCATACTATCATGGAAGATCAGACATAGCTATATCATGTGATTCCTCAATCCAAGCACAGCAGTTGCTACAGTAGAGTAACACACATCATCTCCAACAAGAGATTATGAATGTGATCATGTTATTATGAGTATTATGAATGCAATCATGTTCAAGGAAAGATGCTGTATTTTGATGGTAGATTTCATGCTGCATGGTGAACAACGAAAATGTTACTGTATATTAAGAGACTTTAAAGAAAACTTCAACATGCAATCCAGAATTCATGTATCAGCTTGCTGTATGCTGGAGTTCTGCTGCTTCATAACAATACAAGACCACATGCTGGAGCTGAAACACTAATCCAAGTAAAATCTGTATGCTGACTGGAACTGATCAGCCCTCAAACAGCCCAGATTTTAAGACAACAGACTACTAAATCTTCCTACATCTGCAAAGGTACCTCACTCGTAAGTATTTCTAGGTTAGATTATTAGAATATGGCAAAGCACAGAAGAGCTATTTGCCTAGAGGAAGGGATACCTTTGTTAGGAATTTCTAAGGGAAACTAACTTAACATTATGTGCAAAGAAAACCAACTGTGAAGCATGTCTGTTCACCTGGGAGTGAATGTCAGCATTCAGTGGTCTTAACCTTTCAGCCACTGGTGGAGAGAGGCAAACATTTTCAAAAAGATACAGAAATAATGGTTCAGGAACAGTTTCCTCTCAGGTAGAAAACTTCTATGACACAGGTCTACAAAAACTCATCTTGCAGTATGGCAAATGCTTCAACAATAATGGCAATTATGTAAAAAAAAAATAACTGAAGGTACCTAAAAGTTAAAAAAGGAAGCTCAGAAATGTTTGGTAGTTTATTTCTTATACAAGGTGATTCTAAACTGTTTTTACAAATTAAGAGGGGTGATAGTACTCATCCAGATGACCAATAATTACCATCGAACATAGGGTCACATTCCACTCTGAGAGGCAGAAAAAAGGAATATTAGAATTTCAACCTGAACTTAAACAGTGCTGGGAGATTGAACAAACGAGACCAAAAGTTGCACAATCAGTTTAGTGAAAACTCACAGAGAATGCACAAAACGGACAAAACTGAAAACTTGGCTTTCGAGTGTTAATTCGAGCCCAGACTTTGATGGCAAACACTCAGATACATATCTTTGATTTGCAAGGTTTCAGTCTGGCAAACGACTGCAACAAGTTAATTATCTAAATTATTAGGAGAAATTATTTATTAGGGGAAAAAACTGCTGCCTTGATACTCTTCACCATCTTCTATCCTGTCCTCCTGGACTTGCTGTGCTGCGCTCATTCTACTTGAAGCACCCTTCTAGTAGGACACGAAGTTTCGACAGCGGGAACACAGCATGAACTTTTCATGTCAATCTTGGCATACAGTGGAAGTTGGAGTTAGTTGGTAATATTCAGCCCTTGATTAGATAATTAACTTGTTGCAATCATTTGCGAGGTTGACACCTTACCAACTAAAGATGTGTATTTGCCATCAAAGTCTGAGCTCGAATTAACTCTCGAACATCAAGTTTCCAGTTTTATCCATTTTGTGCACGCTCTGCGAGTTTTTCACTAAACTGATTATGCAACTTTTGGTCTCGTCCATTCACTCTTCCAATACTGTTGTAAGTTCAGGTTGGATTTTTAATATTCCTATTTTCTGCCTCTCAGAGTGGAATGCGACCCTATGTTCTATCGTAATTATTGCTCATATGGATGAGTACTACCACCCCTTGTAATTTGTAAAAAGAATTTAGAATCATCCTGTATAAAGTAATCTGCATTTAAAAAATATCCCTCATATTTGTTTACACTCCTTGTGGAAGTAAAAAATATGTCATCACTTACCCAGCCCCCGTTAATCGGCTACCCTTGGCTCCTGCTTCTAATGATATTCTAACTAATTCATCCAGATCAGGGTGGCTACAATCATAAAGATCTCTACAACTTTCATGGCTTTCATTCATTAGATGACCTAAGTCATTAATTGTATCTTCAGAACTATTTTTGCAAATTGATTTGAAATTCATTACACGAGTGGCTTCTTGGAAAACGTGTTCAGCACGCTGAGCTAGCTAAAAAATCAAGATTTTTTATAATAATTATAGATATAATGAATACAATATATAAATTACATTTTTTTATTTAAATAAATATTTCACTTGAATATTATATTTGACACTAGCAGCTACACTGCCAGCCTCTGTTTGGCTTTTAAATGTACCAGAAAAATACCTGAAGGGAACACCAAACAAATTTAAAAACTGCGCAGAATTTTACTCTGCAGAACAACTTCATAAAAAAACCACAAATTAAAAAAATGTATTGCATATAACAAAATTACAACAAAAATAAACAATATCCTTTAATACAAATATTAATTATCCTAATAAATAAATTAAACAACTTACCGTTGCCTTCCTCAACAAATGCCCAGTATCCAAGAGAAACATTAAATTTAAAAACTACACAGAATTATCACCCTCATTTTTCCAAGTGGCAACAGTGCTGATTTTCAACAGTCAGCAGTCCAATATACAATTGAATGATAAACTGTTGCCAAAACCAAATTTCTAAAAGAAACTATTCAAAATAATGCGATAAAATTGAAAAGATAAAATTTGAAAACTCTAATTCGAATTTTTGAAAAAAATCGCTTCGAGGTGCACTGCCTCTTGTCTAGATGCACCTATGTGCCAAATTTCGTAGCCATGGGAATATTAGCTTACACGCAGCACGAATGAAAGACAGACACACACACAGAGACAGACTCTTTCTTTTATTATATGTAGAGATGATGTATTGACACTTGTTATTAAAATTATTAAATCTCAATAAAGCGTGTAAAAACACAGAGTTCTGCACATTGAATAACGAATGCAGGTGGTCTAGAAATGCAACAGATGTATAAATAACAAAGAAAATAAATTTATTTGGTGCAAGATATAGCATATGTGTTGTTGCATCTGTTGTAACACAAACAAACAACTCCAAAACTGAAAATGAATGCCTACAGAATGTTCTATGAGATATATAAAACTAAAATAACACGTGAAAAGAAAATTTTAGGGGGGGAAGTGTAGTTAATGCATGCAAAATAATCTCTTGCATTTAGGTTATGTGATCCCATTTCACAATTTCAAGTTCATGCTATTAATGAAGTAGTTAATTGCTTGAGAAGTAATTTCCACTCCTCCATCAATATGGTTTTCAAGATGCTGAGATTCTGAATTTCGTCTCTTTCAACATCTCTTTCAGTGGTATCCCACAATTTCTCTGTGTAACTCAAATTGGGAAATTTGACAGGAGAAATTATTTGCTCAATATCTTTTGCTTATATATTATATCACTATACCTTAAAGGGAAGTCAAATCCTCATGCATCATTAAACAGCCTTATACAATGCTGTCAGACTTTATCTCAATACCTCTGGGTAAAAAGCTTCTGTCAAATGTACACAGGTGAGTACATCATTGATTGTAATTACTCCACATATTATCACATTTTAATCAGTGTAATGATCATATTCCTGTTGTTGGCAAGAACATTTTGAGTTCCTGGCTCCTCCCAGATGTAAATATATTTTGAACCAGACATTACACAGAGTTGTCATGTCATTACACAGAAAACAGGCCTACAGCTACAGAACTCCAGCTCTGATGTTCTCAGCACCAGTTCAGACAGGCATTTTTTTGTTGTGAGTTCAGTGAAACAATGCATTGATTTCTGGCACAACAGCTTTTTTTACAAAGCTTTCGATATAGTTATCATGACACTGTTCCTGTGATAACCAAACTCAGCTGACTACTAATCAAATTCCTGTTATAATGTGCAGTTACAGTAAAACGTATATTGAGAAGAAGGCTGGTTTTTAGGATTCTGTCCTACTTCCTAGCAACAGTTGCAGAATTTTAAAATTATTTCCTTGGGACAGATAATGCCTGTCTTGAAACATTCAACCTTTCTGTCACTTACATAATTGTCTGATCTTCTAAATAACTAATAGTGCTTCACCTTCAAAAATTCTTTCAATGACACTGTAAAAAAAAATAAAAAAGCACTGATGTCAAATCCCAAAGCACTGTTCAATAAACACTGAAATCAAATCCTAAAGCACAGTATATGCACAAATGTATTTTGAGCAAAAATTTGTGAAATTTTGGGATGACATAATGCTACTGTTAGCATTTCTGAAAAAGACTGATCAAACTAGATAATAATAACTGGGTTTGCATAATGTTTGGTTCATGAAGGAAAAAAAAATCAGACTAATTTAACACTTAATCATCCTCCATGAAATACCATTATGTGATGTATATAACATAATTTAGACACAGCATACATTTAAACATATAATTTTATTCACAAACTAGTTTTCTCTAGGATAAACTTTGACATGGAGACACAGAGGTTCTCATAAAAGCAAATCAGAAAGCTGATTTATGTTAAAGTATTGGTACTGAAAGAAAACATCCATGCTTGCTCAAATAAATCAACTTGAATAATACATTTTTAAATATTACACATTCAGCAACTTTAGACATGAAAAACCCAATTCAAAAATTAAAGTTCTCACAGTATACATATTTTTATACAATTAAAAGCAATGGGTAGTATTATGGATAAAATTTAAACAGAAGATACAAATATACAAATAATGCACAAAAACAAAATTTATGAGCATGTATTTTACATAGCTTATGGAATGGAATAGTAGTGAAAATTACAAACTGACTATAAAATTTTGGAATTTTAGTCAAGACACATATCTTGCATGCCATTCTAACACTCAAGATTTGTACCAGTTAATGGGATCAGCCTTTCAAATGATGACAAACAGACCCTGCAAGGTATGCAACATATAGCAAAAAGAAGACAGAATTTGGATAAAATCAGTTTTCTTTCTAATATACTAGTAGTATATTAGTGCCTAAAATAAAAGTTAAATTATATAGAATTTAGAATACACATCTAAGACATATACCAAGAAGATGCAACTGTTGCAATTTCTGATACACAAATGCTGCATCTCTTGAACTTCCCATCAGTCATGAATGACCATTTGGAACAAGAAAAGCACTGATTGCCTGCTAATACCAGTAAAATGACTCAACTGCCTAATGAATTGCAGAATATCTCCAATCGCTGATTCAACTGTATTGCATGGAAAATCCCTTAAATTACAAAGTTCAATATTTATACGGCTGATTATTAACTATGAAAAAATACACAAAAGATACCTACCTACCTACCTAACTAGGAAAAATTGCATTCTATTCTTTTATCACAAATGTGAAAAATCTTTTAATTCACATAAATATTTGCATTTTTTTCTTTATTTTTGATGCATTTAGTAGGGTCATTTTGTTCCTTCACAAAGTATTTTGCTTAATATTGAATTTGTGGATTCATACTGTGCTTTATGCTTTTAATTTTGGCTTAGTAACATCTGGCAATATTTTTCTACCTTGCGACATTCTGGAGGTCTCTTAAAATGCCCTGGAAGCTACTTTTGTAGAAAGCTTCCATAATCGCTCTCCTAAGCAATCTTCTAAACAGATAGCTGTTAAAAGCTACTTGTCAGTTCAGCTGAGAGTTCAAACCTTATTCTGTTTGAGGACCATTTTGCTATACTGTTCAATGATTACTGCTTCCCGCTTTGCTCTCTGAGCAGTGTACCCCTTGCATATTCAGGAGAACCTGTATACTAATTCACCCATTCCTAGCTGTTTACCTTACCACTAGTTTTCCTCTAAAGCTGAAATAAATTTTCAAGTTATCCTGTTGATCTTGCTTTGTTACTTAAGAGATCTAGGTGAATCTGTAGCATACAACACTATTTATCATACCTGATTTTTGCAAAGATAATAGTTTATGATTTCAACACCTGACTATTTAAACTTAGTTAAGATAAATTCTCTAATAAAAACACTGTATTCACAGTTAATTCTCTGTACAACTGATAAACTTCATTTTCCAAAGTTATTTAAATAGACATAAATTTAGGGCAATTCCAAAGTTGGTTAGCCAGAAATTCAAAAAATCATTTTCTAAATTCACACATGACTGTGAGAACATGACTGTTTTGGATTTGTCAGTAATTATGAATGAATGGTATTTAACAGTGGAAAGGCTGTGTTATTTCACAAGTAACATTCTTTAATTAAGCATCAAAAGTCCATTTCCTCTGTACCTTACCCATATTATGCAATTTTACAACTTTCTCTCCCTCCTTGAGTTTACTTACATGAAAGTAAAACTGCTCGCCAAGAGTATTCTAGTATATATCATGGTTGTGACTTCTCTCTTTAGTTCCATCTTTCAATAAAATAATGAATTTTAAAATTCCCTATAATCCAGCATTTCAGTTATCCTCTATGAGCCAATTTCACTTAAAATGCCTTCCATACATTCATTTGTTTACAGACAGGCAGCATTGATGTCCTTATAGCTAAACACTATCTAACCTATTGAAGTTTTGCTGCACTGTTTGTGAGTTAAAGCGCCTTTTTTTAATTTACGGATGCTTCCGATTTCAGACATGCCAACCTGCCAAATTAAAAAATCAGGCTGTTTTCACTTACAAAAAAAAATCTTTAAACAGTAAATATAAACTGAACGGAAATTATTTTTTAAAAAAATAAACTATAAATACTATGTATTTAATAGCTGAAAGTGAAAGCTTTTAAATTTGATTAGTAGCTAGTACAAAAGTACTTATGTATTAAAAATGTTATTATTTTTAAGATTGATAGAAAGCCTTTAGTTTAATCCATTTTCATACAATTGCCAGTAACAGCAAAGAAAGCAGCATCATTATTTTGCTTATAGCAGTTGCCACAGGGATCTGCTTTTGCTAATAAAAGTTTAAGATAATCAACATGTACCCCCCAACAAGCTTAAGATAATCAACATGTATTAGTATCTTATTTGAGATGGTCCACCAGTGGCCAAGTGATAAAGTTGCTGAATACTGCCAGTTCAATTCCATATGAACAAACTGGTTACATGAGCATTTTCGTGGTTTTACTCTTGTGTAACACGGATAAGCCAATTTTCCTTAGAAAGTCCTTTA